ATAATAATAATAATAATAATAATAATAATAATAATAATAATAATGCTTTATTTATAGCCCACCCTATCTCCTCGGAGGAAAGCTTACAGCAAAATAAAACACATTGGCAAGCATTCAATGCCGAAGGTACAAATAACAAGTAAATAAACAGCTTAAATAAACAAGACATAATATATTCACACTTTTAACATATTAGATCCTTAAAAACGCTTTAAAATTCAACTAAAGTCACTGGGCTAAGATATTCCGAGATGGCCAAGTCTCATGCCGTTCATCCATCTATTCAAAGAAGATGAATATTTCTATGTTTAGAAGAGTTAAGGACTCACATTGCTCAATGAATAAGTCTACTCAGGGTTTCGGGGTTGGGTTTTAACAAATATTTCTATGTAAACAGAGTGTCTTTCTTTATTCCAAAACTGCATATGGTGTCAGGAAGCCTTCGGGCGAAGTTCCTTCAACACTCCAAGCATTTTGTTTGGTTTCCTCGTGTGGATTCGTTGGTGGGAGCAAAGCCCTGATTTATTGCCAAAGCTCTTTCCGCACTCGAGGCATGCGTACGTTTTGTCTTTCACGTGGGTCCTTCCATGCTCAGTGAGGCTTCTTCTCACGCGGAAGCTCTTCCCACATTCCACGCATTGATATGGTTTCTCTCCCGTGTGGATTCTTCGATGCTCATTAAGGTTTCCTCTCACGCTGAAGCACCTCCCACACTCCACACATTTGTACGGCTTCTCTCCTGTGTGGGTCCTATTATGCACAGTGAGGTGCTCTTTCACATGGAAGCTCTTCCCACACTCCAGGCATTGATACGGCTTCTCTCCTGTGTGGAGTCTTTTGTGCACTTTAAGGTGTGAACGTACCGTGAAGGTCTTTCCGCAATCCATACATTTAAACGGTTTCTCTACTGTATGGGTTCTGTTATGTATCTCCAGGCAATCTCTCACACTGAAGCTTTCCCCACACTGCATGCATTTATATGGCTTATCCTCCACGTGGATGAATTTGAGGCTGATAAGAGGTGCGCTTGTATGGAAGCTCTTACCACAGTCCAAACCTGATTGCTTCTCCGCGTGGGTTTTTCCATGTGCGTCAAGGAGACCGGCAGAATGGAAGTGCTGTCCGCATTCCAAACATTTGTAAAATTTCTCCCCTCTGTGATACACTTCATGTTGAAGAAGCTCTGTACTCTCATGAAAACTCTTTCCACACTCAAAACATTTGTACGGTTTGTCCCCTGGGTGCGTTCCTTGATGTGATAAGAGTTCATTTTTCAGCCGGAAACTCTGGTCACACTCCCGGCATTGATACGGTTTCTGCTCTTTGTGGTTATTTTTGTGTGAAACCACACAACCGTAGGAACTGAACTGCTTTCCACACCCTAAACACTGATATAGCTTCTCTAGTGTGAACATTATTCGAGATTCATGCGCATTCATGCAGTAGGTCTTTTCACACTCGGCACATCCCTGCGCTTTCTCTTCATGTAACTGGGAAAGGATTGATGGACAAAGCATGTTTTTCTCTGTTTGTTCTCTCATCGCTGCTCCTTTCCTCCCCTCTGTGTTCTCCTCATCATTTCGATGCTGAACGTTAACCTGTGAATCAGGCATTGTCTCCTTGTTCTCACTCTCTCTCCCATCTTTGCCTGGGACAGAAAAAGGAATATTTCAATAGTGAAAGGTTATATCATTGTTAAGGAAGCGGTCTGCAAACACTTAGAAACAAATGCGGTCATCGCTAATAGTCAACATGGATTTATCAAAAACAAGTCATGCCAGACTCATCTGATCTCTTTCTTCGATAGAGTTACAAGCTGGGTAGATGCAGGGAATGCCGTGGATGGAGCGTACCTGGATTTCAGGAAGGCCTTCGACAAGGTCCCCCATGACCTTCTGGCAAGGAAACTAGTCCAATGTGGGCTAGGCAAAACTACGGTGAGGTGGATCTGTAATTGGTTAAATGGACGAACCCAGAGGGTGATTCTCCCCAAGGCTTCCTCTTCATCCTGGAAAGAAGTGACGAGCAGAGTGCCATCAGCAGGGTTCCGTCCTGGGCCCGGTCCTGTTCAACATCTTTATTAATGACTTAGATGAAGGGTTAGAAGGCAGGATCATCAAGTTTGCAGACGACACCAAATTGGGAGGGATAGCCAATACTCCAGAGGACAGGAGCAGGATTCAAAACGATCTTGACAGATTAGAGAGATGATGGGCCAAAACTAACAAAATGAAGTTCAGGGACAAATGCAAGATACTCCACTTTGGCACGAAAAACGAAATGCAAAGATACAGAATGGGAGACAATGCCTGGCTCACGAAGCAGTACGTGTGAAAAAGATCTTGGAGTCCTCGTGGGCAACAAGTTAAACATGAGCCAGGAATGTAATGTGGCGGCAAAAAAAGCCAATGGGATTTTGGCCTGCATCAATAGGAGCATAGTGTCTAGATCTAGGGAAGTCATGCTACCCATGCTCTATTCTGCCTTGGTTAGACCACCTGGAATATTGTGTCCAATTCTGGGCACCACAATTGAAGAGAGATATTGACAAGCTGGAATGTGTCCAGAGGAGGGCGACTAAAATGATCAAGGGTCTGGAGAACAAGCCCTATGAGGAGTGGCTTAAAGAGCTGGGCATGTTTAGCCTTCAGAAGTGAAGGCTGAGAGGAGACATGATAGCCTTGTATAAATATGTGAGAGGAAATCATAGGGAGGAGGGAGCGAAATTGTTTTTTGCTTCCCTGGAGACTATGATGCAATGGAACAATGGCTTCAAACTACAAGAAGGGAGATTCCATTTGAACATGAGGAAGAACTTCCTGACTGTGGGAGCCATTCAGCAGTGGAACTCTCTGCCCCAGAGTGTGGTGGAGGCTCCTTCTGTGGAAGCTTTTAAACAGAGGCTGGATGGCCATCTATCGGGGGTGCTTTTAATGCAATATTCCTGCTTCTTGGCAGAATGGGGTTGGGCTGGATGGCCCATGAGGTCTCTTCCAACTCTAGGAGTCTATCAGTCCTTATGGCTTCAGCCTCTTCCTAAAACTTGCTGATTTACTGTTGTTCGACACCACTTCAACTGCATGGTTCAATGCTGTGGAATTTTTGTATTATGATAAGAACCTCCAAAAAAATACCTAAGTGTGATTGTGGTGCATCATACTACAAATCGTAAGAGAGTGTGCAGGTGTCGGGAGGGAGGAGGAGAGACCAGTGTGCAGGGAAAGAAAGGCGGAAGATGCGTCAAGCTTGAGATTGTAAGTATATATATATATATACTGTATGTATGTATGCAGGGTTGTATACTCTCCCCCAACCTATTCAACTTGTATGCAAAAGACATCATGCGATGTGCGGGGCTTGATGAATGCAAGGCTGGAGTTAAAATTGCTGAAAGAAACATTAGCAACCGTAGATATGCAGATGACACTACTTTGATGAAAGCGAGGAGGAGCTGAGGAGCCTTCTAATCAAGGTGAAAGAAGAAAGTGCAAAATCTGGGTTGCAGCTAAAATAAAAAAAAGATTATGGCAACAAGAATGATTGATAACTGGGAAATAGAGGGAGAAAATGGAGGCAGTGACAGACTTTGTATTTCTAGGTGCAAAGATTACTGCAGACGCAGACTGTGGCCAGGAAATCAGGAGATGCTTCCTTCTTGGGAGGAGAGCAATGTCCAGTCTCGATAAAATAGTAAAGAGTAGAGACATCAGACTGGCAACAAAGATCGCATAGTCAAAGCCATGGTATTCCCTGTAGTCACCTACGGATGTGAGAGCTGGACCATAAGGAAGGCTGAGCGAAGGAAGAGATGCTTTTGAACTGTGGTGTTGGAGGAAAGTTCTGAGAGTGCCTTGGACCGCGAGAAGATCCAACCAGTCCATACTTCAGGAAATAAAGCCCGACTGCTCATTGGAGGGAAGGAGATGAGAGGCCAAGATGAAGTCCTTTGGCCACATCATGAGGAGACAGCAAAGCCTAGATAAGACAATGATGCTGGGGAAAATGGAAGGCAAAAGGAAGAGGGGCCGACCAAGGGCAAGATGGATGGATGGCATCCTTGAAGTGACTGGATTGACCTTGAAGGAGCTGGGGGTGGTGACGGCCGACAGGGAGCTCTGGCATGGGCTGGTCCATGAGGTCACGAAGAGTCGGAAATGACTGAATGAATGAACAACAAATGTATGTATGTATGTATCTATATATGTGTGTGTGTATATATATATATATATATACACACATGTGTATATATATATATGATTTTAGTTATGAGACGCTAGTGAGTTGTTTATTGATGGTTATTGATGTTAATTGCTTAGTGTATTATTGTGTTAATTGTTTTTAAATGGTTTGTATGATGTTGCATTGAATTTTTGCCCCGTTTGTTGTTAACCGCTCTGAGTCGCCTAAGGGCTGAGAAGAGCGGTATACAAATAAAGTAAAAATATATAATATATATTATATATTCCCTACTTTGTGGATTTTCACTTATCACAGGTGGTCCTGGAACATAAATGAGGGAACACTGTATATGCAAAACATATATTACATGAAGGATCTTGGAATGGATCCCTTGTGTAATTGGGAGTTCTGCTGTTAAGAGACACAAATCAAACAAGGCTAAATGGTTTAAAGGAAGAGCGCTATCAAATTTCACCTTTCCCCCCAATTTAAACCATTCCCAGTCACACCCGCTTCCTTAACCTAAGAAAAGGGAGATGGAAATGACAGACTTCGAGATACCTGAGAAAGATGGATGAAGAGGAAGAAGACTCCACTCGTTTTCGCTCAGCACCGTTGCGCTCCCGTTGCCCTCCTCCTTCACCACCCACCGGAGGGGTGCTCCCTGCTTGGTGTCTGGCTCAACTTCATTGGCCTCTCCTGCCGGGGGTATTTTGCATTGCTCTGGCTTTACATTGGGGCCAAGAGCATCCTCCTCAGGGGTCTTCTCCCCAGCAATGACCCAGGGTCTGCCATTGCTACTTCCATCCAGGGAAACATCACGGTCTTCTCCTGGCTCCTTTTTGCATTGCTCTGGCTTTACATTGGGGCCAAGAGTGTCCTCCTCGGGGGTCTTCTCCCCAGCAATTCCCCAGGGTCCAGCATTGCTACTTCCATCCAGAGCGACGTCAAGGTCTTCTCCTGGTTCTTCTTTGATTGCCAAGTTGTTAGAGGAGGAATTCAACAGCACACAAAGCCAACACATTATCCTCTTTTGAGGCTGGGATGAGAAGAAGCAGAGGTTTGCTATTCTATCTGGATCTTCTCCCTGGTGGGAAAAGGTGACAAATTAGAACAAAACATCTATAGCCATGTATAAATGTGAGAGGAAGCCACAGGGAGGAGGGAGCAAGCTTGTTTTCTGCTTCCCTGGAGACTAGGACGCAATGGAACAATGGCTTCAAATTACAAGACAGGAGATTCCATCTGAACATGAGGAAGAACTTCCTGACTGTGAGAGGTGTTCAGCAGTGGAACTCTCTGCCCCGGAGTGTGGTGGAGGCTCCTTCTTTGGAAGCTTTTAAACAGAGGCTGGATGGCCATCTGTCAGGGTGATTTGAATGCAATATTCCTGCTTCTTGGCAGAATGGGGTTGGACTGGATGGCCCATGAGGTCTCTTCCAACTCTCTGATTCTATGATTCTATGATCTTCTAGCAGTTAAAGCAGCATCAATCTACATCCATTCTACAGTACAGAGGTACACCCAAGCGCAGAAAGTTAGGCACGAGAACTATAAGCAACCCTCCATATCCGCAGATACCACCATCCACAGCTTGAAAATAGTAAATGGTAAAATAGAAAATCAAAACCAAGGTAACAACAACATCTGTTATAGAACTCCAATATGCTGATGATAGCATAGCCTGTGCACATTCAGAAGAAGACCTACATTTTTAACAAAAGCAAACAAAAAAACAGACAAAACACATAATTTGCAAGCTTGGTAGTTGATTAAATGTCTTTTGACCAGTAGCTGGCCACTTGGGAGTTAAAGCAGTGTCAATCTACATCCATTCTACAGTACAGAGGTACACCCAAGCCCAGAAAGTTAGGCACTATAATTATAAGCAACCCTCCATATATGCAGATACCACCATCCACAGCTTAAAAATAGAAATTAGTAAAATAGAAAATCAAAAGCAAGGTAACAACAACATCTGGTATAGAACTCCGATATGTTGATGATAGCATAGCCTGTGCACATTCAGAAGAAGACCTACATTTTTAACAAAAGCAAACAAACAAACAAACAGACAAAACACAGAATTTGCGGGCTTGATAGTCGATTAAATGTCCTTTGACCAGTAGCTGGCCACTTGGGAGTTAAAGCAGTGTCAATCTACATCCATTCTACAGTACAGAGGTACACCCAAGCCCAGAAAGTTAGGCACGAGAACTATAAGCAACCCTCCATATCCGCAGATACCACCATCCACAGCTTGAAAATAGTAAATAGGAAAATAGAAAATCAAAAGCAAGGTAACAACAACATCTGTTATAGAACTCCAATATGTTGATGATAGCATAGCCTATGCACATTCAGAAGAAGACCTACATTTTTAACAAAAGCAAACAGACAAAACACAGCATTTGCAAGCTTGGTAGTTGATTAAATGTCTTTTGACCAGTAGCTGGCCACTTGGGAGTTAAAGCAGTGTCAATCTACATCCATTCTACAGTACAGAGGTACACCCAAGCCCAGAAAGTTAGGCACTATAATTATAAGCAACCCTCCATATCCGCAGATACCACCATCCACAGCTTGAAAACAGTAAATAGGAAAATAGAAAATCAAAACCAAGGTAACAACAACATAGAACTCCAATATGCTGATGATAACATGGCCTGTGCACATTCAGAAGAAGACCTACAAGCCACTCTAAACACTTTTGCAGACACATCTGTCATTGAACATCAAGAAAACCAAAGTGATCTTCTATCTGTCACTAGCCTGGGAGTCCTGGGAGTTGTGGTGTCTACAAAGTCTTCTCCCCAAACTACATCTCCCAGGGCTCCACCACACAATCTGCACCCTTACTTACCAAAAGGAACGAGTTCCTAGTAACGACAGTGCAGGCAACGCGTTACCTTCTTTCCTTCCAGCTCTCCTCTTCCCCCAGTTTGGAAAAAAACTCCTTCCTTGTCTTTGTTGACCACGCCCCCTCTCCCCCTTTGACCAATCAGCAGCGCCCTCCTAGTGTTGCGTCACTTGGCGCGAGAACTCCAACCAACGTGGTTCTTTCCACCTTCTGATTCAGTGAGGCATCCCCGGAAGTGACGTTGGGGATTCCCTCCCCTCTTCTCCAGGGCCTGTCTAGGGCTTCCCACTCTGTCATTTTAACCCTTTCTGGGCCAGCAACAATACAACAAATTACAGTTTGAGGGCTATGGCTGTCTCTAAATATATATACACACATAATACAGTGAAAACATGCATGTTTGTGTGTGGCTCCTGCCTCCACAAAGAGGAGACACCAATGGCCCTCCTTCCAATGACATTGCCAGTTGAACATGTCCTCCATCATCTATCAGACAGATGGCAAGCTATTTAACCTCAGCCCACTGAAAGCCAAACCAAAGTTTGTTATAGAACTCCAATATGCTGATGACAGCGTCACAGAATCATAGAATCAAAGAGTTGGAAGAGACCTCATGGGCCATCCAGTCCAACCCCATTCTGCCAAGAAGCAGGAATATTGCATTCACATCACCCCTGACAGATGGCCATCCAGCCTCTGTTTAAAAGCTTCCAAAGAAGGAGCCTCCACCACACTCCGGGGCAGAGAGTTCCACTGCTGAACAGCTTCCTAATGTTCTTCCTCATGTTCAGATGGAATCTCTTTCTTGTAGTTTGAAGCCATTGTTCTGCGTCCTAGTCTCCAGGGAAATAAAAACAAGCTTGCTCCCTCCTCCCTGTGGCTTCCTCTCACATATTTATACATGGCTATCATGTCTCCTCTCAGCCTTCTCTTCTTCAGGCTAAACATGCCCAGCTCCTTAAGCCGCTCCTCATAGGGCTTGTTCTCCAGACCCTTGATCATTTTAGTCGCCCTCCTCAATATACGCACACACATATTATTATTATTAAACTTTATTTGTACCCCGCTAGCATCTCCCGAAGGACTCGATGAGGCTTACAAAGGCCAAGGCCTCAACACAACAACAACAAACAATAACAATACGATGCAAAGCAAATTAAAAATACAGCGAAAACATCTATGTTTGTGTGTGGCTCCTGCCTCCACAAACAGGAGACACCAATGGCCCTCCTTCCAATGACATTGCCGGTTATAGTGAGTGCCATGAACATGTCCTCGATCATCTATCGGACAGATGGCAATCTATTTATCCTCAGCAGACTGAAAGACTGTCTGCAACAACATCTGTTATACAACTCCAATATGCTGATGACACCGTCATATGTGCGCATTCAGAAAAAGACCTACAAGCCACTCTAAAAACCTTCGCAAAAGCATACAGAAAGCTCGGCCTGTCATTGAACATCGAGAAAACCAAAGTGCTTTTCCAGCAGTCACCAGCCAATCCCTCTCCAATGTCTAAGGCTGCACACTCTGTCATTTTAACCCTTTCTGGGCCAGCAATAATAGAATGAAGTAATATGTTTGAGGGCTATGTCTATCCCTCTATCTATACACATAATGAAAGTGGAAATGTGTATGTGGCTGGTTTCTCAACCTGGGGGTTGTGAGGGGGTGTCAGAGGAGTCGCCAAAGACCATCAGAAAACACAGTATTTTCGTTGGATATGGGGGTTCTGTGTAGGAAGTTTGGCCCAATTTTCTCATTGATGGGGTTCAGAATGCTTTCCGATTGTAGGTGACCTATAAATCCCAGCATTCAGAGCCACTTGAAAACACCTTCGCAGAAGCATACAAGAAGCTCGGCCTCTCATTGAACATTGAGAAAACCCAAGTGCTCTTCCAGCAGTCACCAGCCAACCCCTCTCCAATGCCAGAGATACTGCTTAATGATGGAACATTAGAAAACGCGGACCATTTCCACTACCTTGGCAGACACCTCTCCACCAAAGTCAACATTGACACTGAAGTACAACACCGCCTGAGCTCTGCAAGTGCAGCATTTTTCTGAATAAAGCAGAGAGCAAAGGACTCAGCCCACTTCATAGAAAAAACCATGTCAGCAATCTCAAGCTAAATACAAACGACAAACTGATCAGCTTTGATGTGGTATCTCTATTTACCATGGTCCCGGTAGCAGACACCATGGCACTCATCAACCAGAGGTTCCCAGAAGACATCACGGCTCTGTTTCACCATTGCCTTACCACCAGTTACTTTCAGTGGGACAATGAATTCTACGAACAGAAAGATGGAGTAGCTATGGGGAGCCCTCTCAGCCCGGTCATAGCTAACTTCTACATGGAACACTTTGAAGAACAAGCCCTGGAAACAGCAACCAAAAAGCCCACGATATGGTTCAGATATGTGGATGACACCTTCACCATTTGGAGCCATGGAGAAGAAGAACTCAACAGGTTCCTGGAGCATCTTAACAGCATCCACCCAAACATCCAGTTCACCATGGAAAAAGAAAATGAAGGAAGACTGCCTTTTCTAGATGTCCTAGTCATCCGCAAACCAGATCAACAATTGGGTCACACCGTTTACAGAAAACCCACACACACAGATAGATATCTACATAAAAACTCCAACCATCACCCAAGTCAAAAAAGAAGCACAATTAAAGCCTTGGCAGACCGTGCAAAAAGAATCTGCGAACCCCACCTCCTCCAAGATGAACTGAACCACCTCAACTGGGCTCTCCAGGCCAATGGAGACTCCACCTCAGACATCAGAAGAGCTGCAAGACCAAGAACAAGCCACGAGAGTAAAGATGAAGATCCACCCAGAGGAAAAGTGTTCCTGCCATACATCAAGGGAACCACTGACCGCATAGGGAAGCTGATGAGGAAACACAACATACAAACAATCTACAAACCCACCAAGAAAATCCAACCAATGCTACGTTCAGCAAAGGACAAGAGGGATCCTCTCACCTCTGCAGGAGTCTACCGTATACCATGCAGCTGTGGACAAGTCTACATAGGGACCACCAAACGCAGCGCCCAGACACGCATCAAGGAACATGAAAGGCACTGCAGACTACTTCAACCAGAGAAGTCAGTCATAGCAGAGCACCTGATGAACCAGCCTGGACACAGCATATTATTTGAGAACACAGAAATGCTGGACCACACCAACAACCACCATGTCAGACTACACAGAGAAGCCATTGAAATCCACAAGCATGTGGACAATTTCAACAGAAAGGAAGAGACCATGAAAATGAACAAAATCTGGCTACCAGTATTAAAAAACTCTAAAATTATAACAGCTAAACTACAGAGAGAAAAAACCAGGCACAGATTAACACCTCCCAGCAACAGATTTTCCCAGGCTCAGGCAGGCCTTCAAATGCTAATGAAGGTGATCAGCTAAACATTCACACCTAACTGCAGCAGGGAAGAGCTCCTTGCCCCACCCCAGCCATTCCACAGATATATAAACCCATTTTTCCTACTTCCAACAGACCTCACAACCTCTGAGGATGCTTGCCATAGATGCAGGCGAAACGTCAGGAGAAATGCCTCTAGAACATGGCTCTATAGCCCGAAAAAACCCACAAGAACCTAAAGCAGAGAGTGTTTGAGGACCGGGACATCCGTAGGGAGACCAAGGAGCTTGTTTATAAAGCCATTGTCTTCCCAACCCTGCTATATGCCTGTGAGACGTGGACTGTCTACAGACGTTGCATGCAACTCCTGGAACGATTCCATCAACGTTGTCTCTGAAAAATCCTGAAAATCTCTTGGGAACACAGTCCTAGACACTTGGGAAGTGTTCGACTTGTGATTTTGTGATACGAAATCCAGCATATAGATCTCGTTTGCTGCGACATACTGTGTTTTTGTGTCAGTAAAATAATAATCATCTTTATTTATATTCCACCCTCTCTGCCCTATGGGACTGAGGAAGCCGAGCTCCTTCCTAGAGTTGGAGGACCTGAAGATGGTGGGGCACATGTTTGTAACTTCTGCAATGCATTCTACATTGGGTTACCTTTGTACCAAGTTCGAAAACAAGTGGTTCAAACAACGGCAGCCAGATTGGTTATGACAGGGTCCTCAGACTGCGGTCCTCCAGCTGTTTGGGCCTCCAAATCCCAGAAGTCCTAACTTGCTTGTTTAATTGTCAGGAATTCTGGAAGTTGAAGGCCCAAACAGCTGGAGGGCCACAGTTTGAGGATGCCTGGGTTATGGGAACATGCAGGAGTGAGCTTATTACACCTAACCACAGTGGTTCACGCTCTGGTTACATCCCATATAGACTACTGCAACGTTCTCTACGTGAGGTTGCCTTTGAAGACTATTCAGAAGCTTCAAATGGTCCAACGGTCAGCAGCCAGGTTACTAACGGGAGAGGTGCTCAGGGAGCATACAACTCCTCTCTTTCGCCAGCTCCACTGGCTGCCAGTTTGCTACCGGGCACAATTCAAAGTGCTGGCTTTAGCCTATAAAGCCCTAAACGGTTTTGGCCCAGCTTATCTATCCAAACGCATCTCCTCCTATGAACCCACTAGGGATTTGATATCATCAGAGGAGGCCCTGCTCTCGATCCCACCTGCTTCACAAGCACATCTGGTGGGGATGAGAGACAGGGCCTTCTCAGTGGTGGCCCCTCAGCTGTGGAACGCCCTTCCTACAGATATTAGATCAGCCCCCTCCCTGTTGACATTTCAGAGGAAAGTGAAGACATGGTTGTTCGAGCAGGCATTTGAACAGGAGGTAACGAACATAGGAATATGGAACAATTGGATGATGAGACTGGATCTTGATTTTAACTATGAGACGCAGATTGTGGCACAGCTGGCTGAGTACCAGCTGCATTAAGATCACTCTGACCAAAAGGTCACGAGTTCGAAGCCAGCCCGGGTTGGAGTGGGCTTCCAACCAGTTGTGTAGCCTGTTGTCGACCTTTGCAACCTGAAAGACAGTTGCATCTGTCAAGTAGGAAAATTAGGTAGCACCTTGTGTGGGGAGGCTAAATTAACTAATTTATGAGGCCATAAAAAAGACTCCAGCGAAAGCATGCAGGGAATGCGGAAGTACTTCATCAGTGTCGCAGATGGACGATGAAAGCAACAGCTTCCCTGGCAGCCAGAAGAAGTTAAATAGCCTCTGTGTACGTCTGTATACATTGTATGTCAAATTGGCTTTGAATGTTTGCCATATATGTGTACATTGTAATCCGCCCTGAGTCCCCTGTGGGGTGAGAAGGGCGGAATATAAATACTGTAAATAAATAAATAATGAGATGTTTTATTGATTTATATTGACTGTTTATTATGCTACGGTTTTAATGACTTTCAACTGTTTTAAGATGTTTTTGAGTATTTAATTTTGCTATTGTTAACCGCTCTGAGTCGCCTGAGGATTGACAAGAGCGGTATACAAACATAGTAAATAATAAAATCCTAAACTCCTTCCACTGGCTGCCAATTAGTTTCTGGACAAAATACAAGGTGTTGGTTTTGACCTTTAAAGCCCTACATGGTTTGGTTCCAGGTTGCCTTCAGGATCACCTTCTCCTGCACAATCCATTAAAGATGTAATTGGAAACCTCTCTCTTGCAGTAGGTTCTTCCGAGATGGACAAGTCTCATGGCATTCATCCATCTGTTCAAAGAAGGGGAATGGTTCCTTTAAGGTACAGTAATCACATTGCTGAATGAATAAGTCTACTCAGGGTTTCAGGTTTGACTTGTAAACAAAAAATTATGTATATATAAGTTATCTTTCTTCATTCCAAAACTACATATGGTGTGTGGAAGCCTTCGCGTGAAATCCCTTCCACATTCTAAGCATTTAGTTCTTTTTCCTCCTGTGGATTCTTTGGTGGGTGGAAAGACCTGATTTCTGGCAATAGCTCTTTCCGCACTCCAGGCATTTATAGGGTCTCTCTTCCATGTGGGTCCTTTCATGCACAAGAAGTCTCCCCCGATCAATGAAGCTCTTTCCACACTCCACGCACTTATATGGTTTCTCTCCTGTGTGGATTCTTTGGTGCACTTTGAGGGTTGCATTCACACTGAAGCTGTTTCCACACTCCAGGCATTGATACGGCTTCTCTCCTGTGTGGGTTCTTTTGTGCACCATGAGCGCCCCTTTCTCAACAAACCTCCTTCCACACTCCAAGCATTTATACGGTTTCTCTCCCGTGTGGGTTCTCGTATGCACCCTAAGTTTCGCTTTATCACCGAAGCTCTTTCCACACTCCACACATGTACATGGCTTCTCTCCTGTGTGGATTCTTTTGTGCACTTTAAGGGGTCCGGAGGAATGGAAGTGCTTTCCGCATTCCAAACATTTGTAAAATTTCTCTCCTCCGTGACTCATTTCATGCTGAAGAAGCTCTGTACTCCCATGAAAACTCTTTCCACACTCAAAACACTTGTACGGGCTCTCCCCCGAGTGCGTTCCTTGATGGGATAGGAGTTCATCTTTCAGCCAGAAACTCTGGTCACACTCCCAGCATTGATATGGTTTCTGCCCTTTATGGTTTTGTTTATGTGCAACAATGCAACCATATGAACTGAACTGCTTTCCACACCCTGAACACTGATATAGCTTCTCTGCTGTGCAAATTATTTGAGATTCATGCGCATTCATGCAGTAGGTCTTTTCGCACTCGGCACATCCCTGCGCTTTCTCTTCAGCTAACTGGGAAAGGATTGATGGACAAAGCGCCTTTTTCTCTGCTTGCTCTCTCATCCCTGCGCCATTCCTTGCCCCTGTCTTCTCCTCCTCGTGTTGATGCAGAACGTTGTCAAGCTGTCCATCAGGTGTATTCTCCTCATTCTCATGCTCCTTCCCATCTTTATCTAGAACAGAAAGAAAAAGGAATGTTTCAATATTGAAAGGTTACATCCACACCTAAGGTGGTCCACACCTTAGTTACCTCTAGACTGGACTACCACAATGCTCTCTACGTTGGATGAGGGGACTGGATGAGGGACAACAGATTGAAACTAAATCCAGACAAGACAGAGGCACTCCTGGTCAGTCGAAAGGCCGAACAGGGCATAGGGTTACAGCCTGTGCTGGACAGGGTTACACTCCCCCTGAAGACGCAGGTTCGCAGCTTGGGAGTTCTCCTAGATTAATGGCTGAGCCTGGAGCCCCAGGTTTCGGCGGTGGTCAGGGGAGCTTTTGCACAATTAAAACTTGTGCGCCAGCTGCGCCCGTACCTTGGGAAGTCTGACTTGGCCACGGTGATCCACGCTTTGGTTACATCCTGTTTAGACTACTGCAACGCTCTCTACGTGGGGTTGCCTCTGAAGACTGCCCGGAAGCTGCAGTTAGTCCAACGCTCGGCAGCCAGACTACTAACGGGTGCTGGGTACAGGGAGCACACCACTCCGCTGTTACACCAGCTCCACTGGCTGCCAATTAGCTTCCGAGCACAATTCAAAGTGCTGGTGTTAACCTATAAAGCCCTAAACAACTCCGGCCCTGTTTACCTCTCCGAACGTATTCTCCCCTATGAACCATCAAGATTATTAAGATCGTCTGGAGAGGCCCTGCTCTCGGTCCCACAAGCGCGTCTGGTGGGGACGAGGGACAGGGCCTTCTCGGTGGTGGCCCCTCGACTCTGGAACTCTCTCCCACTGGAGATCAGAACCGCCCCTCTATCCTGACATTTAGGAAACAGGTGAAGACCTGGTTATGGAGACAGGCATTCGACGAGTGAGCCAACACCCTGAGATATGGATGGAGGATGATGAGCAACGATTTTAGTGTGACGACTGACCATTATAGTTATTGATTGTAATTGCTGTTGTAATGTTTTACTGTAATATGAATTATGATGTTTTATTGACTGTTTGGCTTGTTTTCTGCTTCCTTGGAGACTAGGACGCGGAACAATGGCTTCAAACTACAAGAGAGGAGGTTCCATCTGAACATGAGGAAGAACTTCCTGACTGTGAGAGCCGTTCAGCAGTGGAACTCTCTGCCCCGGAGTGTGGTGGAGGCTCCTTCTTTGGAAGCTTTTAAACAGAGGCTGGATGGCCATCTGTCAGGGGTTCTTTGAATGCAATATTCCTGCTTCTTGGCAGGGAGTTGGACTGGATGGCCCATGAGGTCTCTTCCAACTCTATGATTCTATGTATGTGATTTTATGGTTGGGCCGAGTCCCTCAAGAGAGATGAGAAGTCCGGTACACAAAACTTTTAAATAAATAAATAAATACGTGGGGCTACCCTTGAAGACGGCCTGGAAACTACAACCTGTCCAACTTTTGGTAGCCAGATTAATAAGTGGGGCTAGTTATAAGGAGCAGTTGACTCCCATGTTTAAGGAGCTCCATTGGCTGCCGTTTATTTTCCGGTCCCAATTCAAGGTACACGTTATCACCTACAAAGCCCTAAACGGTTGGGAACCTGTGATGTGACCTTCTTATAGTAACACCAGAGGCACTCCAAGTGGCCAGCTACTGGTCAAAGGACATTGTGTTTTGTCTGTCTGTTTTTTTGTGTTTGTTAAAAAATACAATACAACTGTTTGGTTTGCTCCTGACATGATAAATAAATAAGGGACGTTGCCCAGGGGATGCCGGATGTTTTGATGTGTTGCTATCCTTGTGGGAGGACTCTCTCATGTCCCCGCATGGGGAGCTGACAGAGGGAGCTCTTCTGTGCTTTCCCTGGATTCAAACCTGTGTTAGTCAGCAATCCTGCCAGCACAAGGGTTTAGCCCACTGCACCACCAGGGGCTCCACTGTGCAAAAGTTATATCATAGAATCATAGAATCCAAGAGTTGGAAGAGACCTCCTGGGCCATCCAGTCCAACCCATTCTGCCAAGAAGCAGGAATATTGCATTCAAATACCCCTGACAAATGGCCATCCATTTAATCAACTACCAAACTCACAAATTTTGAATTTTGTTTGTTTGTTTGCTTTGTTTCTGTTAGAAATGTAATATAATTGACTGGTTGCCCTGACACGGCAAATAAATAAATAAATATTCCCTTGCATTCTAAACCATACTCAGCCATAGTCCTTCCTTAACCTAAGGGAAGGGAGATGGAAATGACAGGCTTTGGGATACCTGAGAAAGAGGGACGAAGAGGAAGCAGGCTCCACTCGTTTTCGCTCAGCACCGTTGCGCTCCCGTTGCCCTCTTCCTTCACCACCCACCGGAGGGGTGCTCCCTGCTTGGTGTCCGGCTCAACCTCATTGGCCTCTCCTGCCGGGGGTATTTTGCATTGCCCTGGTTGTCCATCGGGGCCAAGAGCATCCTCCTCGGGGGTCTTCTCCCCAGCAATTCCCCAGGGTCCACCATCGCTTCTCCCAGCCGGGGTGACGTCAAGGTCTTCTCTTGGTTCCTCTTTGATCGCCGAGTTGTTAGAGGAGGAATTCAACAGCATACAAAGCCAACACATTGCCCGATTTTGAGGCTGGGGTGAGCAAAAGCAGAGGCTTGTTGTTAGATAGAGAAATAGAGATAGAGATAGATAGATATTGTTGTGCAGGAAAAAAAATAAGCAAATGTTGACATAACACATTTTTGTGTTGGAATGTTGACCACCACTTCCACTGCCCTGGCTCATGCTATGGAGTCCTGGGAGTTGTGGTTTCTGCAAGGTCTTGAGCCTCCTCCTCCTTCTCCCCAAACTACATCCCAGGGCTCCACAGCACTGAGCATTTAAAGGTAGGGCCAAATGGCACCCCTGTTTATCAAAAGGAACTCGTTCCTAGTAACTAGACTGCAAGCAACGCGTTACCTACCTTCCTTCCTTCCTTCCTTGCAGCCAGCTCTCCTCTTCCCCCCAATCTGGAAAAAGAACTCCTTCCTGATCTTTGCTGTTGATATACCAAGTAGGCCACGCCCCCTCTTCCCTTTTGACCAATCAGCGGCGCCCCCTAGGGATGGCACACTTGCTGGCGGGAAAACTCCCACCAATGTGCTCCTTTCTCTCCAACTTCAGCTGGAGTGGGGCAACTCCGGAAGTGACGTTGAGGGATTCCCTCGCCTCTTCTCTAGGGCTGCACACTCTATCATTTTGACCCTTTCTGAAAGTTCACCTATTCATAGACCAGCAAGAACAAACTAGCATGTTTAAGGGAGATATCTATATCTATATGTGTGTGTGTATACATACATACACTAGCTATCTCCTGCCACATGTTGCTGTGGCCCAGTCTGTGTATATGTGTTTTGTGTGTGTATTTATTTGTGTATATGTGTGTTTGTGTATATATGTGGTTTTGCGCATTTGCAATGTATTTTTTGTTTTTTGGCTTTTTAAGTCCCTTCCATTGTGTTTTCCAGTGTTTTTATGAGTATTTAATAAATAATAATAATAATAATAATAATAATAATAATAATAATGGTCACTCGTTGGCCTGATAAGTGTATTGTTTCCAAATGTTATGCTAATTCCACAAACGAACATTACATTTTTATATATATATATATATATATATATATATATATATATATATGTGGGTGTATTCCCTGCCACGCATTGCTGTACCAGTCTGTGTATATGTGTTTTTGTGTGTATATATTTGTGTGTGTGTGTATATATATATATATATATGGGTGTATATATGTGTGTATGTATATATTTGTATATTTGCACGTTTATATGTGTACATGCATACTGTGCATATGTGTGTGGTTGTCTATATGTGTGTATATGTATATGTGTATGTGTGCATATGTATGTGTGTATCTATATATGTGTGTGTGTGTGCACGTGTATATGTATATGGATGTGTATATGTGTATATTTGTGTGTGTCTGTGCATATATATATATATATATATATATATACACATACATACACGTGTATGTATATGAATGTGTGCATGTGTATATGTATATAAGTGTATGTGTATATGTATATATGGTGCATTTTGGGGGTTTTAAAATCTGTTCCACTGGGGCTTTGTGTGTGTTTGTGTGTGTTTCTAGGGGTGACGGACACTCATTGGACTGTTAGGTGTCTTGTGTCCAAATTTGGTGACAATTCGTTCAGTGGTTTTTGAGTTCTGTTAATCCCACAAACGAATATTACATTTTTTATATATATACTAGCCGTCCCCTGCCACGTGTTGCTGTGGCCCAGTCTGTTGATCTAGAAAATAAAGTAATGGTTTGTAATATATGTAGATCAGGCATGGACAAACTTCAGCCCTCCAGGCTGTTAGGAATTGTGTGGGTTGAAGTCCATAACACTGGGAGGGCTGAAGCTTGCCCATGCCTGGTGTAGATGCATTGCCAAATGATGTGATAGTCAGAAGTACTTACTATCAGTTTCAGCTGAGATGCCAGCTGAGCCCCTTCTTAGATCTTGAGGACCTAGAGACAGTAGGGAACGTGTTTGTAACCCGAAGGTTAGGAATCTGCAATGCGCTTTACATTGGGCTACCTTTGTACCAAGTTTGGAAATGCCAGCTGGTTCAAAGCACAGCAGCCAAATTGATTATGGGAACATCCAGGAGTGAGCATACTACACCTATCCTAAAGTCACACCACTGGCTGCCAATCAGTTTCCAAACAAAGTACAAGGTGTTGGTTTTGACCTCTAAAGCCCTACATGGTTTGGGTATTACAGGATCACTTTCTTCTGCACCATCCATTAAGATGCAATTGGTTCAATTCCATCATTGGTGGAGTTCAGAATGCTCTTTGTGAATTTTGACTTGCGTTTCATAGGTGTGGTCTTATATTTTGCTATATGTATTATATGTATTGGACAGATGGCAAGCTATTTAACCTCAGCAGACCGAAAGCCAAAACCAAGGTCACAATAACACCTGTTACAGAACTCCAGTATGCTGATGACAACGTCGTCTGTGCGTATTCAGAAGAAGACCTACAAGCCATTCTAAACACCTTTGCAGAAGCATACGAGAAGCTTGGCCTGTCATTAAACATCGAGAAAACCAAAGTGCTCTTCCAGCAGTCCCCAGCCAATCCCTCTCCAGTGCCAGAGATACAGCTTAATGGTGTAACATTAGAAAATGTTGATCATTTCCGCTACCTTGGCAGCCACCTCTCCACCAAAGTCAACACTGACACTGAAATACAACGCCGCCTGAGCTCTGCGAGCGCAGCATTTTTCCAAATGAAGCGCAGAGTGTTTGAGAACCGGGACATCCGTAGGGAGACCAAGGTGCTTGTTTTTAAAGTTATTGTCCTCCCAACCCTGCTATACGCCTGCAAAACGTGAACTGTCTACAGCTGTCACATGCCTCCTGGAACGATTCCATCCACGCTGCCTCCGAAAAATCCTGCAAATCACTTGGAAAGACAGGCGGACAAATATCAACATGCTGGAAGAAGTAAGACCACCAGGATTGAACCAATGGTCCTCCGCCATCAACCCCGCTAGACTGGTCACATTGTCTGAATGCCCGATCACCATCTCCCAAAACAGTTGCTCTACTCCGAATTCAAGAACGGAAAATGGAATGTTGGTGGGCAGGAAAAGAGATGTAAAGATGGGCTCAAAGCTAACCTTAAAAACTCTGGCATAGACACTGAGAACTGGGAAGCCCTGGCCCTTGAGCGCTCTGGTTGGAGGTCAGCTGTGACCAGCAGTGCTGTAGAATTTGAAGAGGCACGAATGGAGGGTGAAAGAGAGAGCATGTCCTCTGCCATCAACTCCGCTGGACCAGCCACGTTGTCTGGATGCCTTACCACTGTCTCCCAAAGCAGTTGCTCTACTCCAAACTCAATAATGGAAAATTGAATGTTGGTGGACAGGAAAAACTCTGGCATCAATACCGAGAACTGGGAAGCCCTGGCCCTTGAGTTCTCCAGTTGAAGGTCAGCTGTGACCAGCAGTGCTGTAGAATTTGAAGAGGCACGAATGGAGGGTGAAAGAGAGAAATGTGCCAAGAGGAAGGCGCGTCAAGCCAACCCCGACCGGAACCGCCTTCCATCTGGAAACCGATGCCCTCACTGCAGGAGAAGATGCAGGTCAAGAATAGGGCTCCACAGTCACCTACAGACTCACCGCCAGGACACCAATCTTGGAAGACAATCTTACTCAGACAATGAAGGGTCGCCTAAGTACGTAAGTGGAAGGGGCATCGGAGAAGAAATAGATACATTCCCAACTATTATACAGGAGACACTGAGCAAGGGAAACGAAACTTACAAATTGCTCCTCGTTGAGGACTGGAAACTTGGGCAGCGTGGGGTTGAATCCCAATGCAAACTGCATGCCATAAGTTTTGCTTGCTACTTTATTGCTGTTTTGAAAACTTGGCTACAAATATGGAATAGAGTCCCTATTTCCCATTTCTTCTAATCTCCAAAAAAATAAAAATAAAATAAAGCATGCAAGGCTCCTTCCTCCCTATCACCTGGAACCCACCTGGGCCTTTCCCCCAGCAAAACTGGAGACACACTGGGAAATATATGGCTTAGACTGGGAGGAATGAGAGTTTTTGGGCTCAAGGCTCTATTTTAGCCCTCTCTTAGGGAGGTTGAAACAAAAGATTAGGATGGTCCTCCAAGGCGGTGAGCACAGGGTTAAAGCCAGCGAGATAGAGGCGCTAGAGCGGACAACAGGAAGAAGGTCCGCTTGCTATTTCAGTCCGACTCCCCACTTCCGGTTCCCTTCCTTATTCCACTCCCTCCCATTCCAAAGGAAGCAGACCCCTTTGTCTTTCATTCCCTTCCTTTTCAAGCAAGGAGCCTGGTGAGTGAGTCTTCCTCTTCTTTGGCCAGAGAAGCTTTATTTAGAGGGAAGGAAGGTTGTTTTAGAGAAGCAATGGATTCTAGGCTGGAAAACAAAGGGAAGAAGGGAAGAGAACCCCCAAGAGAGAGGGGCCCAGGCCGAGGCTTCAATAATAATAGCAGGATTTGTAGGGAAACAACTGGAAAAGTTGACACGATATGAGGATTTAAAGATCAAACTGTGCATCTTCAAATTCTACAGCACTGCTGGTCACAGCTGACCTCCAGTTAGAGGACTCATAAGCCAGTCAAGGGGGTCCCAGTGGTGATGGGCACACTGGGTGCAGTGCCTCAAGATCTTGGCCTGCACTTAAACACAATCAGCGCTGACAAGATTGCCATCTGCCAGCTGCATAAGGCCACCTTACTGAGATCTGCACGCATTGTTCGCCGATACATCACACAAACAACTGGAAAAGCTGACACGATATGAGGATTCAAAGATCGAACTGCAAAGATCCATTTGTGCATCTTCAAATTCTACAGCACTGCTGGTCACAGCTGACCTCCAGTTAGAGGACTCACAAGCCAGTCAAGGGTCCCAGTGGTGATGGGCACACTGGGTGCAGTGCCTAAAGACCTTGGCCTGCACTTAAACACAATCGGCTGACAAAATTACCATCTGCCAGCTGCAAAAGGCCACCTTACTGGGATCTGCACACATTATTCGCCGATACATCACACAGTCCTAGACACTTGGGAAGTGTCCGACGTGTGATCTAATACAACAGCCAGCAGAGTGTCTGCTGTGGACTCATCTTGTTGTGTTTCTAATAATAATAATAATAATAATAATAATAATAATAATAAGTGGTGGGTGTTGTAGGTTTTTTCGGGCTATATGGCCATGTTCTAGAGGCATTCTCTCCTGACGTTTCGCCTGCATCTATGGCAAGCATCCTCAGAGGTAGTGAGGTCTGTTGGAACTAGGAAAAAGAGTTTATATATCTGTGGAATGACTGGGGTGGGCAAAGAGCTCTTCTCTGGTGGAGCTAGGTGTGAATGTTTCAACTGACCACCTTCATAATAATAATAATAATGTGAATGTTTCAACTGACCACCTTCGTTATAATAATAATAATAATATTTAAGGAAATGGCAGGATAGAAATATTATTGTTTAGGGAAAATGCAGGACAGAAAATTATTTTTTATTATTATTTTATATATTTATTCTTTATTTACTTCATTTATATACCGCTTTTCTCAGCCCTTAGGCGACTCAAAGCGGTTAACAAGAGCAAAATTCAATGCTAAACATTACAAAACAATTGGGGCAATTAAAACAATAGCATAATCACAATTAAACATCAATATAACAAATCAATCAATATAACAAATCCATATGGGAGAAAGTGCAGAATGGAAATTTATTATTATTATTATTATTATTATTATTATTATTATTATTATTTGGGAAAGGCAGAATATAAATTTATTATTATTATTATTATTATTATTATTATTGCCTTGGTTAGACCGCAACTGGAATATTGTGTCCAATTCTGGGCACCACAATTCAAGAGAGATATTGACAAGCTGGAATGTGTCCAGAGGAGGGCGACTAAAATGATCAAGGGTCTGGAGAACAAGCCCTATGAGGAGCGGCTTAAGGAGCTGGGCATGTTTAGCCTGAAGAAGAGAAGGTGAGAGGAGATATGATAGCCATGTATAAATATGTGAGAGGAAGCCACAGGGAGGAGGAGGGAGCAAGCTTGTTTTCTGCTTCCCTGGAGACTAGGACGCAATGGAACAATGGCTTCAAACTACAAGAGAGGAGATTCCATCTGAACATGAGGAAGAACTTCCTGACTGTGAGAGCCGTTCAGCAGTGGAACTCTCTGCACCGGAGTGTAGTGGAGGCTCCTTCTTTGGAAGCTTTTAAACAGAGGCTGGATGGCCATCTGTCAGGGGTGCTTTGAATGCAATATTCCTGGTTCTTGGCAGAAAAGGGGTTGGACTGGATGGCCCATGAGGTCTCTTCCAACTCTATGATTCTATGATTTGGGGAAAAGGATAGAAGTGTCTTAGAATCATAGAATCAAGCAAACACCTGCTCAAAAAGCCAAGTCTTACTTTTTTTCAAAAGGTCAAAATGGAGGGGGCCAATCTGATATCCTTAGGGAGGGTGTTCCACAGATGGGGGCCACCACTGAGAAGGCCCTGTCTCTCGTCCCCACCAAACGTACTTATTATTATTTATTATTTAAGGAAATGCAGGATAGAAACATTATTATTATTATTATCATCTAGTTCTTCTTCGAAGTCTCACATTTATCTGTCTGTCTTTCAGGAAGAAGATCAAACCCTTAACTGGTTGGATGTTCTACCTTGGAAACCACTGAGTAGTTTGATGGTACAATGCTTTACATCAAGAACCTCTTGCTTTGCTACAACACAGAAAATTCATAGATTTGATTGTTGGGCTTTAGAAAGAAAGTGGGAAACTGTAGGAGTGCTCTTTGAGCCCAGATGAGGGCTGCCTCGGAATACCGATGGAAAGTGGCCCAAATAGAAATGGCTGGACTGGACGAAGGGCAAGAAAGAGACACCAGAAGAGGGTTTGGCGAAAGAATCACAAAGAAGAGCCAAGAGGAGATGCTCCATTGGGAAGTCCAATGCCAGTGCTTCCGGCAGTTCCGCTACCAGGAAGACAAAGGACCCCGAGAGGTTTTCAACCAACTCCGTCATCTTTGCCACCAATGGTTGAAACCACAGCAATACTCCAAGGCGGAGATGCTGGACCTGGTGATCCTGGAGCAGTTCCTGGCCGTCCTTCCTGCCGAGATGGAGCGCTGGGTGAGGGAATGTGGGGCAGAGACCAGCTCCCAGGCCGTGGCCTTGGCTGAAGGCTTCCTCCTGAGTCGGACACAAGAGGAGAAGGAGCGGCAGGAAGAAGAAGAGGTGAGACCATATAATAAAATGCATTCCTTCAGCAGTTTTCTACCCTTAATCCAAAAATAATACGGAGGGCTGGGTTGTGGTGAGTTTTTTGGTTGTATGGCCATGTTCCAGCCGCATTCTCTCCTATCTCGATCCTATTCCAAGTCCTGCACTTTATAGTGGCCCTTCTATAGGCTCACTATGACACTTTCTCAAAGGATATTCCTAGCCCTTGGTTATTTGTATCTTGCACTTTCCATTGGCCCCGTTTAGGAAGCTTTGCATTCACCAGAATCTGAACCCATAGTAGACTTTATCCCAACTATTTGATTGTTTTACAGTGATGTCTGTAATTGCTTTATGTTTTTAATTGACTGGTTTTATTGTGTTTTGTTTTTTACTCTGTATTTTGAGCTTGTCCCTTTGTAAGCTGCTCCGAGTCCCTTTGGGGAGATGGTGGTGGGGTATGAAAATAATGTTTATTATTGGGTTGTTGTAGGTTTTTTCGGGCTATATGGCCATGTTCTAGAGGCATTTTCTCCTGACGTTTCGTCTGCATCTATGGCAAGCATCCTCAGAGGTACCTCACTACCTCTGAGGATGCTTGCCATAGATGCAGGCGAAAGGTCAGGAGAAAATGCCTCTAGAACATAGCCATATAGCCCGAAAAAACCTACAACAACCCAGAAATTCCGGCCATGAAAGCCTTCGACAATAGTATTATTATTATCCCTGTTGTAGCCTTTCTGGGATCCTAGATTTAAAGAGATTTAAAGATGGGCTTAAAGCCAACCTTAAAAACTGTGTCATAGACACCGAGTACATCTGTTTAATGGCATCTTCAGAGGTTTTGTTGGCAGTGAGGCAAGTGTGTGTGTGTGTGTGTATCTGTGTGTATATGTGTATATCTACGTGGAATAATGTCCAGGGTGGGAGAAAGAACCCTTGTCTGTTTAAAGCAAGTGTGAATGTTGCACTTAGCAAGCTTGAATTAGCATTTGAGTAGCCATGAAGTTTGCAAAGTCAATCAGTGAGAGTATCTGCATAGAGATAGCCTGTCTTCTGTTGCCTGGAGGCACCCTCTGTTAGGGAGGTGTTAACCGGCACTTCATTGCTTGATTTACAGTTTTGATTCTTGTGTTTTTTAATATTTATAACCAGATTTTGTTTATTTCATGGTGTCCTCGTTTCTGTTGAAACTGTCCACATGCTTGCGGATTTCAATGGTTTTTCTGTAGGATAATAATAATAATAATAATAATAATGACCTCACAACCTCTGAGGATGCTTGCCATAGATGCAGGCAAAACGTCAGGAGAGACTGCTTCTAGAACATGGCCATATAGCCCAAAAAACCTACAACAACCCAATTTAATGTCGAAGGCTTTCATGGCCGGAATCACTGGGTTGTTGTAGGTTTTTTCGGGCTATATGGCCATGGTCTAGAGGCATTCTCTGACGTTTTGCCTGCATCTATGGCAAGCATCCTCAGAGGTAGTGAGGTCTCTATTATTTATTATTATTATTATTATTATTATTAATATTATCACAGAGTAACCATTGAAATCTGCTTGCCATAGATGCAGGTGAAAAAAAACTACAACAACCCAATAATAATACACTTTATTTATATTCTGTTTTAACTCCCCGGAGGGACTCAGACAAAGCGCTAAAACCTGAGCTGGGAAAGAATTGGGATTCTGTTGTAGTTCGCCCTACTGTAGCAGAGTGTGCCTGCCGATAACAGGCAAAGAAAACTGCAGCTACCTCCAGAATCCCTCACCAAAGGTGTTCAATTAGCAACATAGAGCAAAAAAAGTCCAAAGTTGTTTAAGTGTACCATTTTCCTTCACAATGTCTTTTTTCCACTTTGGAACTTTTCTCGTTTGTTTTCCAGGAACTATTAGTGGAAGGGACTACTGGTTTCTCTCCGGTGGCGGCACTTTCAAGAGGCATCAGACAGAAACCCTTGTTCCGGTGTATCGTGGAGGAGTCAGTCCAAGCAGATACATTGCTGTGTAAGGCTTTCAAGGGCGTTGTTTACCTTCCCTCGCCTTGTTTCTGTGGGTTTTGGCTTCAAGTCATTTCTGATTTCAAGGGTGAACCTATCGTGCTGATTTCTCAGCAGGAATTTATTTGGAGGGGATTTGACTTTGCCTTCCTTTGAGGCCAAGGGTGGCTTGCCCCAGGTCACCCATTTCTTTCCCCTCCAAGCTGTTGTAGATACAGCATCCCGTAGTATTATGGTCAGTGTATTTCCTTACAACTTCTGTTGTTTTTTGCCAGATGACAGAATGAGACCGTTGATCCATTCCCAGCTGTCTCTTCGTGGCGGCACGGAATCGGTGACGGCGCAGTCTGACGAGGTATGGGATGATACTTTCACCTTAAGGTAGGCATTGGCCAGCTTTGGCCCTCCCCCCAGGTGTTTTGGACTTCAACTCCCATAATTCCTAACTGCCGGTAGGCTGTTAGGAATTATGGGAGTTGAAGTCCAAAACACCTGGAGGGAGGGCCAAAGTTGGACCATGCCTGCCTGAAGACCTCTTGTATATGCTTCAAGTTGAAATCATAAGAGTGAATAGAGCTTCTTCCTCTTCCTTTAGGGCCCAGTGACCTTTGAGGACATAGCTTTGTATTTCACTGATGAGGAGTGGGCTCTTCTTGACCCAGGCCAAAGGGCCCTGCATGTGGAAGTGATGGAGGAGAACTGTGCAAACCTGGCCTCACTGGGTAGGTGGAGCTTCCTTCTCTGGGGTTTTTTTTTTTACTTGAATGGCCATCTGTCAAGAGTGCTTTGATTGTGTCTTCCTCTCTGGTGGAAGGGAATCGGACTGGATATAGTATAGACTACTGCAATGCACTCTACATGGGGTTGCCTTTGAAGACTGTCCGAAAGCTTCAAATGGTCCAACGGACGGCAGCCAGATTGCTAACAGGAGCAGCGCTCAGGGAGCGTACAACTCCTCTGTTGCTTCAGCTCCACTGGCTGCCAGTTTGCTACCGGGCACAATTCAAAGTGCTGGCTTTAGCCTATAAAGCCCTAAACGGTTCCGGCCCAGCTTACATGTCCGAACGCATCTCTCCTTGTGAACCATCTAGGACTTTAAGATCATCTGGGGAGGCCCTGCTCTCGTTACCACCTTTGTCACAAGTACGTTTGGCGGGGATGAGAGACAGTGCCTTCTCGGTGGTGGCCCCTTGGCTGTGGAACGCCCTCCCTATACATATTAGATCGGCCACTTTCCTTTTAACATTCTGGAAAAAAGTCAAGACATGGCTTTTTGAACAAGCGTTTGCAAATGCAGAATAACTGACACAGGAAAATGAAACAATGAGTCCGTACAACGTTTTTAACACTATGAATGTATATTTTATTGATTTTTTTCTTTTTTATTATATGTTATGTTTTTAATTGTATTTTAGACATTGTAAGCATTGAATTTTGCCTTGTTAACCGCCTTGAGTTGCCTATGGGCTGAGAAAGGTGGTATACAAATATAGAAAATAAGTAAGTAAGTAAATAAATAAGTGGCCTTTGGGGGTTCTCTTCGTACTATGATTGCAAGCAAAACTGAAGGAAATCCACTCAGTTTTAGTCTAATGTTTGGAATGATTACACAGACTAGTGCCCAGATCAACTAAGGCAGTGATTCTCACCACAACATGAGGAACTGTATTTACGGGTCACAGCATTAGGAAGGTCAAGGAACACTGCCCTAAGACATTATGCATACTCTTTAAATGGTTTGGCATAGGTCTTTCCCTCTGCTCAAATATGGCGCCATAGCACTGTAGAATTTTGTTCCCTAGCTTAGCATTCTGTTTTCAGATCTTCTTAACAGGGATCAACCAAGAAACAGAAGAGTGCAAACAAATGCTGGATCGAGTTAAGCTGATATCGTGGAACTGTTGTGGTCTTGGATCCTGCCAGAAAAGGGGGAGGATTACAAACCAGATTCTTAAAACCAAGGAGGGCATTTTTTTTTTTGCAAGAAACTCCCCAATCACGAGAAGGTTTAAATGAACTGAAATTAAAAGGAACTATAATATACGAAAAAGCTATTGGAGTAGCAATTATAATTAAGAATAGTAGTGGATTTAGCAGGGTACAAACAAAAAAGGATGAAATGGGTAGATATGTGATGATTCAGGGGTCTATGGGAGGGGAGGATTATACTTTTGTTAATGTTTATGTACCAAATACAAAACAAAGAATTTTATGAATTAATTTTTAAAGAGTTAGAAGAAATTAAAAAAGAGTATGTAATATTAGGAGGGGACTTCAGTGGAATTATGGATAAAAAACTGGATAAATCCCACCCTAAAAAAGGAGCCCCCGGTGGCGCAGTGGGTTACAGCGCTGAGCTGCAGAGCTTGTTGACCAAAAGTTTGCAGGTTCAATTCTGGGGAGCAGCATGAGCTTCCGCTGTCAGCCCTAGCTTCTGCCAACCCAGCAGTTCAAAAACATGCAAATGTGAGTAGATCAATAGGTACCGCTCTGGTGGGAAGGTAACGGTGCTCCATGCAGTCATGCCGGCCACATGACCTTGGAGGTGTCTACAAACAACACCGCCTCTTCGGCTTAGAAATGGAGATGAGCACCACACCCCAGACATGACTGGATTTATTAATGTCAGGGAACAACCTTTACCTACAAAAGAAAAGGGGGAAAGGAATATAACAGAACTTAATAAAGTAATAACTAAGGAGGGATTGATAGATGTTTGGAGAATGATAAAGGGTAATGAAAGAAGATTTGCCTTCATCTCCTCAGTGCACAAAAATTATTCGAGAATAGATTTTTTTTGTTTCAAAAGATTTAATTTCTAAAACTCAAGATGCTGAAATAGAGATTATAATTAGTACTATAATACAAATTTTAAAAAATTACAGATTAGTTAAAAGATGGAGAATCGATAATAAAGTATTAGAAGATAAAAAAAATCAGGAAAAATAGTAAAAGAATTAAGAGGAAATTTGGGAGATAAATGACAAAAATCAATGTTCTGTCGCAATAGTATGGGATATAATGAAGGCAGTGGCTATCACTTTTTCGTCCATGTCCAGCATTATTTTTTTAATCTTTTAATTTTAATTACATTTGGCCTACCCATAGATTTTAAAGCGTGTTGTCCTATTGATAATGCATGTGTTATTGGTTTATTTGTTATTTTAAATTGCTTGTATTCTTATTGTTATTGCTTGTATTGTTGTATTTTGGGCTCGGCCTCATGTAAGCCGCACCGAGTCCCTTGGGGAGATGGTAGCGGGGTATAAATAAAGTGTTATTATTAGGGGACTCTTCATTAAAGAATATAATAGTTTTAAAAGCTACAGAAGAAAAAAAATAGACGTGGAAATCAAGAAATTAGAAGATATGCAACATAATAAGATAGAATGAATTATGCAAAATTAATAGCAAATAGGCAAGAACTTGAAAAACGAGGGATCGAAAAGGCACAGAGAGATTTGATTTATTTAAACAGTATTCTGCTTTCTCTGTCAGGCCTTTACCCATTTGTTCTCTTTACCTGAACAGACGATGGCAAGGATGAGGAAGAAGTCCGAGTCCTGGTGGAAAGAGCCACATGTGTAGAAGAACAACAACAGAACAAGGAGACTGAGGAGGAAGAGAAAAGGGATGATGGATGGCCTCGTTCTCAGGGTGGCGGCGATATCTGTGAAATCCCAGTCCGAGAAACACCAGAGACTGGGAAGGACAGCTTTGAGTGCCTGTTGTGTTGTGGAAGTTTTGACAGCAAGTCGGACCTGAAGGCTCACGTGAAGCTGCACAAGGAGGAGAGGCCCTTTCAGTGCGCAGACTGTGAGAAAAGCTTCTCTCAGAGGAAAGGCCTCATTAGGCACCAGCGCATCCACACAGGGGAGAAGCCCTACGCCTGCTTGGCGTGTGGGAAGACCTTCCGCCAGAGCGCGGCTCTCATCACACATCAGCGCATCCACACCGGGGAGAAGCCGTACACATGCCTGGAGTGTGGGAAGAGCTTCTGCCAGAAGACCACGCTGGTTCGCCACCAGAGGATCCACACGGGGGAGAAACCCTACGCTTGCGCAGACTGTGGAAAGAGCTTTAGCCACAGGTCTCAGCTGACATCCCACATCCGGGTCCACACCGGGGAGAAGCCGTACACGTGTTTGGAGTGCGGCAAGAGCTTCAGCCAGAATACCAACCTTACTCTGCACCAGAGGACCCACACGGGAGAGAAGCCGTTCCGGTGTCTTGACTGCGGGAGGAGCTTCAGCCACAGTTCGACCCTCATGGCGCACCAGAGGACTCACACAGGAGAGAAGCCCTTCACGTGCGTGGCGTGCGGGCAGAGCTTTGCCCAGAATGCGAGCCTCATTTTCCACCAAAGGACCCACACCGGGGAAAAGCCGTACGCTTGCTCCGAATGCGGAAAGAGCTTTAGCACTAGCACAAGCCTCACCTCGCACCGGAGGATCCACACAGGGGAGAAACCATACGTTTGCTCCGAATGCGGGAAGAGCTTCTGCACAAGCACAAACCTTGTGACGCACCAGAGGATCCACACAGGGGAGAAACCATTCCAGTGCTCTGAGTGCGGGGAAAACTTCCGCAAGAAGGCGCACCTCCTTCGGCATCACATGACGCACACCGGCGAGAAGCCGTACAACTGCTTGGACTGCGGGAAGAGCTTCAGCGAGAAGAGGAACCTCATTTCCCACCAGAGGATCCACTCGGCGTATTGGAACGGGGATCCTCAGAGCAGTCATTGGGTTCCCACATCTCTAAACTTTGAGGGTCTCCCTCTTCCCCAGGAATCTGGGCCTTTCCACAACTCCCTGACTAGCAACTCTGACCAAGTAGAAAGTCTAGAGTGTTTTACTCTATTTCTAAACCATTAGAGGGCAGGGTTGTTTTAGGTTTTTCGGGCTATATGGCCATGTTCTAGAAGCATTTTCTCCTGACGTTTCACCTGCATCTATGGCAAGCATCCTCAGAGGTTGTGAGGTTGAAGGCACTGCAGACTACTTCAACCAGAGAAGTCAGCCATACCAGAGCATCTGATGAACCAACCTAGATACAGCATATTGATTGAGAACACAGAAATGTTTGACCGCTCCAACAACCACCATGTCAGGCTTCACAGAGAAGCCATTGAAATCCACAAGAATGTGGACAATTTCAACAGAAAGGAGGAAACCATGAAAATAAACAAAATCTGGCTGCCAGTATTAAAAAAACTCTAAAATTATAATAGCAAAACAATACTCAAACACAGGGAAACTCCACAGAGGAAATAATCAGGGACAGATAATCACCTCTCAACAAAAGATTCCCCGAGGCACCGACAAGACACACCAAAAAACTGCCAAGCCATCAAATACTACTCAAGGTGGCCAATGGAAACATTCACACCTACCTCCAACAGACAAGAGTTCTTTCTCCCACCCTGGACATCATTCCACAGATATATAAACCCAATTTTCCTAGCTCCAACAGACCTCACAACCTCTGAGGATGCCTGCCATAGATGTAGGCGAAACGTCAGGAGAGAATGCTTCTGGAACATGGCCATATAGCCCGAAAAACCTGCAACAATCCAGTGATTCCAGCCATGAAAACCTTCAACAATGCATTAGAGGCAATTTGTCAAACCTTCCTTGGTTACAGTTAAAAGAAGCAGAGAAGGGGAAAAAATCAACAATAAACTTTATGAATGAAAGAAAGCTTGGAGTCTGTCTATCTATCTATCTATCTATCTATCTATCTATCTATCTATCTGTGTTGTTGTTTCTTCGTTCAGTCACTTCTGATTCTTCGTGACCTCCTGGACCAGCCCACGCCAGAGCTCCCTGTTGACCATGGCCACCCCCAGCTCCTTCAGAGCCAAGCCAGTCACTTCAAAGAAGCCATCCACCCACCTTGCCCTTGGTTGGCCCCTCTTCCTTTTTCCTTCCATTTCCCCCAGCATCATTGTCTTCTTCAACCTTTCCTTTCTTCTCATGATGTGGCCAAAGGACTTCATCTTTGGCTCTACTATCCTTCCCTCCAATGAGCAGTCGGGCTTTATTTCCTGGAGGATGGACTGGTTGGATCTTCTTGCGGTCCAAGGCATTCTCAGCATTTTCCTCCAGCACCACAATCCCTTCACTCAGTCTTCCTTACGGTCAAGCTCTCACATCCATAGGTGACTACGGGGAGTACCATGGCTTTAACTATGCGGACCTTCGTTGCCAGTCTGATGTCACTACTCTTCACTCTTTTATCGAGATTGGTCATTGCCCTCCTCCCATTTCCCCTTTTTGGGTTTTTTTTGGTCGTGTCAGGAGCGACTTGAGAAACTGCAAGTCGCTTCTGGTGTGAGAGAATTGGCTGTCTGCAAGGACATTGCCCAGGGGACACCCGGATGATTTGATGTTTTTATCATCCTTGTGGGAGGCTTCTCTCATGTCCCCACATGAGGAGCTGGAGCTGACAGAGGGAGCTCATCTGCCTCTCCCCGGATTCGAACCTGCGACGTCGGTCTTCAGTCCTGCCGGCACAGGGATTTAACCCACTGTGCCACCGGGGGCTCCCCTTTTTGGTATGGGGATATAAGTTGATTTTTTCCAGTCTGATGGTATTTTCCATATTTGCCGGCATATGGCATGCATCACCTTGACAGCATCATCTTTCAAGATTTTGAACAGTTCAGCTGGGATCCCGTTGTCTAGTGCTGCCTTGTTAGCAATGCTTCTTCAGGCCCATTCCACCTCACTCCTCAGGATGTCTGGTTCTAATTCACTCACCACACTGTCAAAACTATCCTCAATATTATTTATTTATTTATTTATTTACTTTGCTTATATACCGCTGTTCTCAGCCCGGGGGCAACTCACAGCGGTGTTATCCTTCCTATACAGATCCTCTGTTTAGTCTCGCCACCTTCTCTTGATCTCTTCAGCTTCTGTTAGGTTCTTGCCATTTTGTTTTTTTATCATGGCCATTTTTGCCATGCCCAAGAGCTCTGCCAGTGTTCTCCATCAACACCATACTGCAAACCACTCAAGTGAAGGCTTTCCTATGGGGACCATTTCATTCTAGATTTTATGTTTTTCCTCCACCACAGACATCCCAGGGTTTCTGACTCTCTCCATTGGTGCAGAATTTGCATGACCCCGCGCACTGCCTCTCCCTTAACCCTTTTCTATTCTTTTGTATGGCACACAGCAAACAGGAATTGATCAACAAATGAACATACTAAGGTTTAGGAGAATTCATGATTTATAGTAGGTACTGAGATGTATAGTTCATCTGCAATCTAAGAGCACTATGAACTTCAACTTGGCACACAGATCTGGACCAAACTTGGCATGCATACCGATATGCCCAAATTTGAGTACTGGTGCGTTTTGAGGTTAATTGGCCTGGGCATTTTGGAGTTGTAGGTACTGGGATTTGTAGTTCACCTGCAATCACCAAGCACTCTGTATTCCACCAAAGATGGAATTGGACCAAACTTGGCACACAGAGCCCCATGACCAGCAAAAAATACTTGAGGTCTTTGGAGGCGATTCATTTTTTGGGGGATTTGTAGTTCACCTACTTCCAGATAGCAATCTGAACCCAAACACCAATGGATCTGGACCAAACATGGCACACATAACTGATATGCCGAAATTTGAATACTAGAGGAGTTTGGGGGGAACTGACCTTCCTTTCTGGGAGTTGTAGTTCACCCACAACCAGAGAAATTGTGATCTCCAGATGATGGACTTGGTCCAAACTTGGCACACAGAACCCCCATGACTAACTCAACCTACTGGAGGGGTTCGAGGGGATTGACTCATCCTAGTGGGAGTTGTAGTTTACCCTGCAGTTGGAGAGTGCACTGAACCCCACCGATGATGCATCTAGAGCAAACATGCCCAACATAACAAACTTTAACTATGGATGGAGTTTTTGGGGGTTAATCTGGCATGAGGGGAGTTGTAGTTCACCCACAGCCTTATGCATTTTGTACAATTTGCACAACTCTTTCAAATAACCCAGGCAACGCTGGGTACTCAAGCTAGTAATAAATAAAACAAAGAGTATTGTCAAGAAGTGTTGACTCAAATATAAGGGCTTGGAGTACTCTGGGGCATCACATGGGTTTCTTTCACACCATTAAGCTGTAGAATTATTATTATTATTATTATTATTATTATTATTATTATTATTATTATTATGTACTAACCGTCCCCTGCCATGCGTTGCTGTGGCCCAGTCTGTTGATCTAGAAAATAAAGTAATGAGAAAGTGTTGGTTTCTAATATATGTAATTTCTCTATGCTTGTGGGTAAACAGTATTTCTTGCTGTTTCTTTGTCAGTGTTGATGTGGAGAGTGTCTGGTTTGCCTTCTCTGGAACATACCACATATCATTGTCCTTCTTTAGGGGTCCCTTTCAAATCTATGATACTATATCTGTGTGTGTGTGAATCATATATATCTATATCTATGGCTGGATGGCTCTTTGTCAGGAGGGCTTTGATTACGTTTTCTTGCCCCGGTGAAGGGAGTTGGACTGGATGGCCTTAAGTATTTTCTGTTGGTCATGGGGGTTCTGTGTGGGAAGTTTGCCCAATTCTGTCGTTGGTGGAGGTTCAGAATGCTCTTTGATTGTAGGTGAACTATAAATCCCAGCAACTACAACTCCCAAATGTCAAGGTCTATTTTCCCCAAACTCCACCAGTGTTCACATTTGGGCATATTGAGTTTACGTGCCAAGTTTGGTCCAGATCCATCATTGTTTGAGTCCACAGTGCTCTCTGGATGTAGGTGAACTACAACTCCAAAGTCAATGCCCACCAAACCCTTCCAGTTTTCTGTTGGTCATGGGAGAACTGTGTGCCAAGTTTTGTTCAATTCCATCATTGGTGGGGTTCAGAATGCTCTTTGATTGTAGGTGAACTATAAATCCCAGCAACTACAACTCCCAAATGACAAAATCAATTTTTTTGAGTGATGATCACTCATTGGGTTGTTAGCCGTATTCTGTACAAATTTGGTGTCAATTCCTCCAGTGGTTTTTGAGTTGATGACAAGCGGACAAACGTCAGCGTGCTGGAAGAAGCAAAGACCACCAAGATTGAAGCGATGGTCCTCTGCCATCAACTCCGCTGGGCCGGCCACGTTATCCGGATGCCCGACCACCGTCTCCCAAAGCAGTTGCTCTACTCCGAACTCAAGAATGGAAAACGGAATGTTGGTGGACAGGAAAAGAGATTTAAAGATGGGCTCAAAGCCAACCTTAAAATCTCTGGCATAGACACTGAGAACTGGGAAGCCCTGGCCCTTGAGCGCTCCAGCTGGAGGTCAGCTGTGACCAGCAGTGCTGCAGAATTCGAGGAGGCACGAGTGGAGGGTGAAAGAGAGAAACGTGCCAGGAGGAAGGCGCGTCAAGCCAACCCCGACCGGGACCGCCTTCCACCTGGAAACCAATGCCTTCACTGTGGGAGAAGATGCGGGTCAAGAATAGGGCTCCACAGCCACCTACGAATCCACAAGGAAATCATGGAAGACCATCTTACTCGTCCAGCGAGGGATTGCCTAAGTAAGTAAGTAAGTAAGTTTTCCAAGTATGGGGCCGATGTACCTGAGGGACCGCCTCACCCCCTACCAACCCCAGAGATCCCTCCATTCTGAGGACCAAGATCTATTGGAAATTCCCAGTGTCAAGACCTTGCGTCTAACAGCAACCAGACGCAGAGCCTTTACAGCAGTGGCACCATCACTCTGGAATACTCTGCCACCTGAAGTCCGTGCCTTGCGGGACTTATCAGCTTTCTGCAGGGCATGTAAGACATACCTGTTTTGACAGGCCTTTGATTTTTGATATTGTTGTTTTTAAATTGTTTTTAAATTATGTTAGATTTTAGCCTCTTCTTGTAAGCCGCTCCGAGCCCCAGGAGAGTGGCGGCATATAAGTTTGAATAACAAATAAATAAATAAACATGTTTATAATTCAAGTCCTTTATTCAGTGGAGATCCCAGACACAATAAGAAAGCATTTAGAAATACAAGGAAAGTACCTAAAACCGGACCCTAATCCCAAATCTTCATTATAACCATAAAACCAAAGATTCAGTACAGCATTTTCCTATTAAGTGCTCACTGAGCTTTGCGTACAGTAGTTCAAAGGTCCTTTTGCAACAATCCTGTGAGGCAGGACAGTGCTATTGACCCCTTGATAAACACGGGGTTTGTGCGCATGATGCGGCTGGTGGCAAATACCCGTTGGCCGAGACGAGATTTGATTGGGGGTCTTTGTTACGATCCTAGTCCACAATCTCAACTATTAATACAGGACCCAAAAATCTCTGGATAAAGTAGTTATTTTTTCCCTTGGCTTAAGACCAAACAAAGTTTTCGTCCATGTCACAAAAACACGATCCAACTCCAAAAGTCAAATTTTCTGGTGCATTTTCTCTATTATAGTTTTTGTTTGGATGTTCCATTGAACCATGTTAATAGTCGTACGTTTCTTTCCAGTTTGCAATGAGTTTCTGCAAATTTCCACACAGGATGCTGGCAAGTTTGCGGGTCATCGACAGCACAAATGGGAGATCCACCATTATAGTGTGAAAAATTGTCTCTAATGCTACCCTGTAAGACTTTGAACCAATCACAAGGCTGAAAGACACAAAAAATAATTGCCTATGGGCAAAAATTCACTATTTTTTAATGACTCATGAAGAGTACAGTAGTTCCATAACAAAAAATAATTTAAATAGTATGGTTCATTCTATATTTTTATGTAGATTGAATTAAATCAATTTTTTATTTTAGTTACAAAGTTTCAACTGAAAATGACTGTTAATTGGTAATTGATAGTTCCAAAAGATAGTCGTCTGTGAGCATTTAGAAGATCTCCAAGCCACTCTAAACACCTTTGCAGAAGCGTACGAGCAGCTCGGCCTGTCATTGAACATCGAGAAAACCAAAGTCAACAGCCAATCCTTCTTCAATGCCATGAATACAGCTAATTGGTGTAACATTAGAAAATGTTGACCATTTCCGCTCCCTTGGCAGCCACCTCTCCACCAAAGTCAACATCGACACTCAAATACAACACCGCCTGAGCTCTGCGAGTGCAGCATTATTCCGAAAGAAGCAGAGAGTGTTTGAGGACCGGGACATTTGTAGGGAGACCAAGGGGCTTGTTTATAAAGCTATTGTCCTCCCAATCCTGCTATATGCTTGCAAGACGTGGACAGTCTACAGACGTCACATGCAACTCCTGGAACGATTCCATCAGCACTGCCTCCGGAAAATCCTGCAAATCTCTTGGGAAGACAAGCGGACAAATGTCAGCATGCTGGAAGAAGCAAAGACCACCAGCATTGAAGCGATGGTCCTCCACCATCAACTCCGCTGGACTGGCCATGTTGTCTGGATGTCCCAACCGTCTCCCAAAGCAGTTGCTCTACTCCGAACTCAAGAACGGAAAATGGAATGTTGGTGGGCAGGAAAAGAGACTGAAAGATGGGCTCAAAGCCAACCTTAAAAACTCTGGCATAGACACTGAGAACTGGGAAGCCCTGGCCCTTGAGTGCTCCAGCTGGAGGTCAGCTGTGACCAGCAGTGCTGCAGAATTTGAAGAGGCACGAATGGAGGGCGAAAGAGAGAAATGTGCCAAGAGGAAGGCGCATCAAGCCAACCCCGACCGGGACCGCCTTCCACCTGGAAACCAATGCCCTCACTGTAGGAGAACATGCGAATCAAGAATAGGGCTCCACAGCTACCTATGGAACCACTGCCAATACAGGACTGGATGGCCCATGAGGTCTCTTCCAACTCTATGATTCTAAGACACCACATCTGGAAGACAATCATCCTTGAGCTAAAAGGGATCACCTAAGCAAAAGTGTTCAGGCTGTAATTGTGTCTGACATTCACGATGGGAATGATGTTCCTGACAGTGGGACTGGATCTGTTGGCAATGGGGATGAGGGTTTGCCTGGGCCTGAGTTTGGTAAACTGGCTGGGATTTCTGGGAGTTGTAGGCCAAAACATCTGGGGACCCACAGGTTGAGAACCACTGACCTAGAGATTCCTAGAAGAGTGTCCTCTTTAAGAATCCCGAGGACCTCTAGCGTGGATTTATGGCCAACGTCTGACAGAAGTTGACTCTGGAGTTGCATTGGGAACCTAGAACAAGGGTTGTCCAACCTTTCATCCTCAAGGTATTTGGGACTCCAACACCCAGAAGCCCTGGTCAACTTGTCCAATGGTCAAGAATTTGGGTGAGATGGAAGTCCAAAACACCTGGAGGACCAAAGGTTGGACACCACTGACTTAAGAGACTCCTACAGAGAACCTTTTTATCAAATATGAAAATAATCAAAACCACAAGTGCAGATGACTCACTGCTCCAGGTCACCTGCAGTCCACAGAGTTATCCTGGGGGACATAGAGATTAGGAGAGATAATATTTTAATCAAATCTTTGAATGTGATTTCCTGCTTCTTGGAAGAGGGTTGGACTAGATGGCCCATGAGGTCTCTTCATAGAATCATAGAATCAAAGAGTTGGAAGAGACCTCATGGGCCATCCAGTCCAACCTCATTCTGCTAAGAAGCAGGAAAATGGCATTCAAAGCTCCCCCGACAGATGGCCATCCAGCCTCTGTTTAAAAGCTTCCAAAGAAGGAGCCTCCACCACACTCCGGGGCAGAGAGTTCCACTGCTGAACGGCTCTCACAGTCAGGAAGTTCTTCCTCATGTTCAGATGGAATCTCCTCTCTTGTAGTTTGAAGCCATTATTCCATTGTGTCCTAGTCTCCAAGGAAGCAGAAAACAAGCTTGCTCCCTCCTCCCTGTGGCTTCCTCTCACATATTTATACATGGCTATCATATCTCCTCTCAGCCTTCTCTTCTTCAGGCTAAACATGCCCAGCTCCTTAAGCCGCTCCTCATAGGGCTTGTTCTCCAGACCCTGGATCATTTTAGTCGCCCTCCTCTGGACACATTCCAGCTTGTCAATATCTCTCTTGAATTGTGGTGCCCAGAATTGGACACAATATTCCAGGTGTGGTCTAACCAAAGCGGAATAGAGGGGTGGCATTACTTCCCTAGATCTAGACACTATGCTCCTATTGATGCAGGCCAAAATCCCATTGGCTTTTTTTGCCGCCACATCACATTGTTGGCTCATGTTTAACTTGTTGTCCACGAGGACTCCAAGATCTTTTTCACACGTACTGCTCTCAAGCCAGGCATTGTCCCCCATTCTGTATCTTTGCATTTAGTTTTTTCTGCCAAAGTGGAGTATCTTGCATTTGTCACTGTTGAACTTCATTTTGTTAGTTTTGGCCCATCTCTCTAATCTGTCAAGATCGTTTTGAATCCTGCTCCTGTCCTCTGGAGTATTGGCTCTCCCTCCCAATTTGGTGTCATCTGCAAACTTGATGATCCTGCCTTCTAGCCCTTCATCTAAGTCATTAATAAAGATCCTGAGCAGGACCGGGCCCAGGACGGAACCCTGCTGATGGCACTCCACTCGTCACTTCTTTCCAGGATGAAGAGGAAGCATTGGGGAAAATCACCCTCTGGGTTCGTCCATTTAACCAATTACAGATCCACCTCACCATAGTTTTGCCTCACCCACATTGGACTAGTTTGTTTGCCAGAAGGTCATGGGGGACTTTGTTGAAGCCCTTCCTGAATTCCAGGTATGCTCTTCCAGCTCTATGATTCTATAAATCCATGAATATTTTGGTGCCTCAAATGTTAGCCCTGTTTCTGGGTATATTTGACCTGTTGATTCCAAAAATGACACTGGTTTTCCCGCTATCAATGCTAGTTTTTGTCATACAGAACATATGGCATCTACCAGTTGCCACCTGATTACCCACAGAAAATTAGCATAGGCATATCTAAGAATCATAGAATCAAAGAGTTGGAAGAGACCTCATGGGCCATCCAGTCCAACCCCATTCTGCCAAGAAGCAGGAATATTGCATTAAGATCACCCCTGACAGATGACCATCCAGCCTCTGTTTCAAAGCTTCCAAAGAAGGAGCCTCCACCACACTCCAGGGCAGAGAGTTCCACTGCTGAACGGCTCTCACAGTCAGGAAGTTCTTCCTCATGTTCAGATGGAAACTCCTCTCTTGTAGTTTGAAGCCATTGTTCTATTGCGTCCTAGTCTCAAAGTGACTTCAAAGTGAATCTACAGCTGATGTAGTCTATCCAATGCAGTTTTCTTAATCCGTGTCCAAAAGGACCCGAGGAACATTCCAGAAAACTGAGATAACAAGGTTTTGTTGTTGTTGGGCTGTGTAATCAAACCCCCAAATATGGAGTGCCAACCGTACTGAGTTATCATAGGAGTTGCCGCAGGTTGGCTGCAACCCACACTGAAGGTACGGAAATGCTGTGGTTTCATGAGGCTTCATCTGGGTCCTCCTCCATGATCAGCATATTGAGAGTGTCCCTGGTGTGGATTTTCTGGTGCCTCACAAGGACCGCACGGTGAGAGAAGCTCTTCCCGCAGGTTGTGCACTGATGTGGCCTCTCGCCCGTGTGGACCTTCTGGTGCCTAATGAGGACAGCCCGGTCGCAGAAGCATTTCCCGCACGTGGCGCACTTGAAGGGCTTCTCCCCTGTGTGTATCCTCTGGTGGACCATCAGGATCTGCCTTTGGCTGAAGCTCTTCCCACACTCGGAGCAGGTGTAGGGCCTCTCCCCGGTGTGGACCCGGTGGTGCTTGACCAGCTGGGAGGAGGTGTTGAAAGATTTGTCACAGTCCGGGCACTTGAAGGGCTTCTCCCCCGTGTGGGATCCCTCGTGGATCATGAGGCTGGAGCTCCGGTTGAAGGTCTCCCCGCACTGGGAGCACTTGTACGGCTTCTCTCGCGTGTGGACCTTGTGGTGGTTGAGCAGCTGTGTCTTCCGGCTGAAGCTCTTGTTGCACTGCAAGCAGCTGAAGGGCTTCTCTCCGACGTGGATCCGGTAGTGTCTAGTGAGGTCCGAACTGACGGTGAAGCTCTTCCCGCACTGGGAGCAAGTGTACGGCCGCTCCCCCGTGTGGGTCCGTTCGTGCGCCACCAAAGTGGACTTGAGGCTGAAGCACTTCCCGCAGTCTTTGCACATGAATGGTTTCTCCCCAGTGTGGGTCCTCTGGTGCGCGACGAGAACCGTGGTCCGGCTGAAGCTCCTCCCACACACGTTGCACACCCGCTCCCCTCTGCTCCTGCGCCTTCTCTTGAGGACAACCTTTTGCGTCACTTCAGCACTTTCTCCTATATAGGGAAAGAATACATTCACGCTGGAATCAAGGTGGTTTTTCCTCCCTTTCTCTGCCTCTTTGTGGCTCTCAGAAGTTTCTCCACTCCTTTGGGGCCACGGGGGGATTTCACGGGAGGGTCCGTGAGGCTTCATCGGCTCAGTATGGTCTTGCTGAAGCTTCTCCTCTTTGCTGTCTCTTCTCCATTCATCGCCTGCTGCAAAAGACAAGGAAACCCAACACATGAATCCTCAAGAAAGAAAATCCTTATATATAAAATCTCAGCCTGCATATGTTTGTGCTCACAAAACTCGAAAAATAGTTGGTCGATTGACTTGACATTTCCACCCAACATTGCATTCCAATATGCATGTGTTCTTATAGTAAAATGAAATTTTGACACAACATTGCATTCCAATACATACATGTATTTAGTGTAGGACCGGGCTGTGGCGCAGCTAGTTAGTAGCCAGCTGCATTAAATTACTACTGAACAAGAGGTCATGAGTTTGAAGCTAGCCCGGGTTGGAGTGAGCTCCTGACTATTAAAAGTCTAGCTTGCTGTTGACCTATGCAGTGTTGTGACTCAGCTGGAACCACAGACTGATAGTGTTGTGACTCAGATGGGGTCTCAGAGTGACTCTGACAAGGATGATGGGATCCAGGTTCACAATCAGGTTCAAAATGTTCCTGTTGTAGACAATGAGGAACAGGGTGTGCAAGTTCAATTTTCCACAGCAGTGAAATTATGTTGTTGATACTGAAACTAGCCAGGTGCAAATTGACTCAGAAAAGGAGGACAGTTCTCAGCCTGATAGTAGGCAGGAAGGCAACCAGGCTGACACTAACAAGCAGCCTGACCTTGATGAAACGGGAATCTTAGATTGGGCTGACCGTTTGGCATTCAGAGTTCAAAGAAGTGTGAGAATAGCTAACAAGAAGGAGGTCAGAGGCCAAAGAAATGCTTTCATGTATTGCAAAGGGTATTAAGCAGTGTGTTTGAAAACAAACCTTTGTCAGAGCAACTTTTCGCTCAACCAAGTAGCTTGTGCTCGTTTGCCTGGATTATCTTGTAGTTCTTATGTCCATGGTCTCGGGACTTTGTCATGTTCTCATGTTTTGTTGGTGTCCCTTGGAATCCTGCTTTACAGTGATATGTTTTATTGATCTATTGGAACATTACTTGCTTTTAAGAACTTCTTATCTTTCACTTTTCAATAAACTACAAAGACTTCAGCCTGTGTGCAGTTTTGGTGATTTCAGCAAGGTGAATCTACTCTGAGGTGCGACATGCAGCCCCAAAGACAGTTGCATCTGTCAAGTAGGAAATTTCGGTACCGCTTTTTGCGGGGAGGCTAATTTAACTAATTCACGACGCCATAAAATCTTTCAGCAGCCTGCAGAAGAATGAGGAAGTACTCCATCAAGGACTCAGTCTCACAAGTGGACGGTGAAGTGGCAACTCCCCCTGTGGCTGGATTAGAGCATACTCCCATGAAGCTGGAATGTTAAATTGCCTCTGTGTCTGTCTATATATGTTGGATGTCTAATTGGCATTGAATGTTTGCCATGTATATGTGCATTGTAATCCACCCTGCGGGGTGAGAAGGGCAGAATATAAATACTGCAAATAAACAAACAAACAAATAATAAAACTTGCAGTCTGGGAATAGACAAAGTAGAATGTGTGATGCCCAAAACAGCCACTCACAGCCTAGCTTTCATTATACCTCAGCAGTACAAGAAATAAAAACTGAGCTCTATTAACCAATCACTGCACAGCTTTCCTTTTACCTCAGCAGTAAAAGAAATAACCTATCACAGAGCAGCTTACATTTTACCTCAGCGGTAGAAGAAATACCCACCAACCACAGAGCAGCTGTTATTTCATCTCAACAGTATGAGAAATGAAAGCAGAGCTCTTAATGTTTAGCTATGACTTTAAAGCCCATGCACATAGTGGCAGTGGCCATGCTCAGTACACCCAAGCGAGCCAAATGTGTTCCCAAGGGTGAGATCCCTTAACTTCTGCATTCAATCAACAAAGAAGCCACACTGTCTCCAGAATGCAAGACGGTCAAAATGAACACACGGACATCCTTACTTTGCTTGCTGGTCTTGCCACCATTCCCCTGCTTGCCCTTGGCGACAGGTTGCTTCTCTTTGGGGCTCGGAGGTAGTTGTTCAGTCACACAAAGGGTTGACACTGCCTCCTGGATCAGGGCTGAGCCCTGGAACAAAACAGGAAGGAAACTTGAGTAGATAAACAGGACAATGTGCAAAAATCATAGAATCATAGAGTTGGAAGACAATGTGCAAGAATCCTAGAGTTGGAAGAGACCTCATGGGCCATCCAGTCCAACCCCATTCTGCCAAGAAGCAGGAATATTGCATTCAAAACACCTCTGACAGATGGCCATCCAGCCTCTGTTTAAAAGCTTCCATAGAAGGAGCCTCCACCACACTCCAGGGCAGAGAGTTCCACTGCTGAACAGCTCTCACAGTCAGGAAGTTCTTCCTCATGTTCAGATGGAATCAGATGAATGTCAAGGGCTGAAAAACACTTCCTTCTTCACTCTCGCCAAGTGCCTCCAGCCAAAGAGATGTGGGGCGGGAAATTCCAATGTTATATTTTTCCACACTGTCTACTACTCTTGTGTGATCCATTAAAAAAATTGTTCTAAACTGTGCTCAAAAGTAGGGGGTGTTGGTGCTTCGTTTTGAAAGTTATTTCCAAATTTTGGGGGTAAACATTTCGGAATTCTAATGAAACTTACGAATTTTCGTTAGTACTTCGTGAATGGAAAGTCAGACTAGGTCATGTGTATCAAACTCATGGCCTGTGGGCCAAATCTGACCCTGCCTATTATTCTTTGTGGCCTTAGAATCATAGAATCAAAGAGTTGGAAGAGACCTCCTGGGCCATCCAGTCCAACCCCATTCTGCCAAGAAGCAGGAATATTGCATTCAAATCACCCCTGACAGATGGCCATCCAGCCTCTGCTTAAAAGCTTCCAAAGAAGGAGCCTCCACCATACTCCGGGGCAGAGAGTTCCACTGCTGAACGGCTCTCACAGTCAGGAAGTTCTTCCTAATGTTCAGATGGAATCTCCTCTCTTGTAGTTTGAAGCCATTGTTCCGCGTCCTAGTCTCCAAGGAAGCCTTCCAGATGATGGACTTCAATTCCAGTGTTCCTCATCATTAGACATAATGAGTAGCACAGATGGGATGCAGAAACAATACATCCAGAAGGCTGAGGTTTGTTCTGTTCAGTCAGGAGAGTGAGGTTTGAATTTAGGCTGGATGGCCATCTGTCAGGGGTGATTTGAATGCAATATTCCTGCTTCTTGGCAGGGGGTTGGACTGGATGGCCCATGAGGTCTCTTCCAACTCTTTGATTCTATGATTCTAGTTACATGGCTTACGGATATGATGGCTGACATTAAAATATCCTTTAGCCTCAGAGGCACAAGTGCTGTGGGGTTGAAATTCCCATTATGCTCAGCCCACATGGCAGAAAATCTATTACTTCTGGGATACCATGGGCAAGATAACATTTATGGACTGGTAGCATAGCTGGTTAATCAGCTGCAATAAATCACTTCTGACCAAAAAGTGGCAAGCTCGAAGCCCGAGTCGGAGTTGAGCTCCTGACTGTTCAAAAAATAGCCCAGCTTACTGTTCACCTAAGCAGTTTGAAAGCAGCTGTGCTGTGAGTAGAGAAATTAGGGACCACTTAAAGCAGGGAGGTTAATTTATAACACCATAAAAATACTGGAGAGCAAGGAGGAAATACTACGATTAAAAGGCTTGGTGCCATAGTGGATTAAGCGACAGTTCTCGCTGTGGTCAAATGGAGCAACCTTCAGGATCCGAAGTGGAAGAAACTGCTGAATGACCTCTGTCTGTCTGTATGTCCTGTATGTCAAAAATGGCACTGAATATTTGCCGTGGATGTGTGCATTGTGATCCGCCCTGAGTTCCCTTTGGGGTGAGAAGAGCAGAATATAAATACTGTAAATAAATAAAAATAATCAAAAGTTATGGAAATAGTTGTGTAACCTCCAGTTTGCTAATGAATTACCATGTCGTGGAATGATGCAACTATAACAGGCATGGGCCAATTTCGGCCCTTCTGATGTTTTGGACTTCAAGTCCCAGAAATCTCAGCCAGCTTACTGGCTGTTAGGAATTGTGGGAGTTGAAGTCCAAAACACCTGGAGGGTTGGGGTTTTCCCATGCCTGATCTATAAAAATGGTGTGTCACAGACATGAAATGTCTGGAAAGCTCTGACCTAGGAAGCCAGATTCAAAGGCTATTATGTGGTCAGTGTTCATGAGTCATTTATTGATCTATCAAATGGTTAGGAGTCTTTGCCCGGATCAATTCCGGTATCAAAGAGTCAACCCCATACTAAGTGAAACCATATCAAAAGGACACTGGGAATCACCATTATATGTCCTCTGTGGGATCAAACCCTGCCCACCTCTGGTTGCAGTTGTCCGGACACCTGCTGCCTCAGGAGGAAGTCCTCGGCCAGGGACACGGCCCGGTCGCAGGTCCGAGGGCAGCCCCTCTTGACCCAGCTTTGGATCTCAGAGGGCAGGATGGCCAGGAACTGCTCCAGGATCACCATCTCCAGGATCTTCTCCTTGGTGTGCCTCTCTGGATTCAGCCACCGGTGGCACAGGTACCAGAGGCGGCTGCAGGCCTCACGCGGACCCTCTGCCTCCTGGTAGCGGTATTCCCGGAAGAGGGCCCGCTGGACATCCATGGTGACCAAGTCCTCCTTAAGGAGGTCTTCCTTTCCTTTCCAACAGTCGCCCATCTTCATGTCCTCCATTTTTATGACATCTCCTAAGCTTCCTCCACCAAGACTTCTGGACTTTCGGTAAGCATTTGGTGACCCTTCAACAGACGTCAAGAGAACCGTTGCCTTCTCCCATGGTGAGGACCCTGATCGCGGGGAATTTCCCCATCCCAAGTGAGACGATGGTGTTTCTTTGAGGTCTTCATGAGATCCTGGTGGAGTCACCTTGCCTGGTCCACCCATAACTTCTTCCTGCTTGAGAAATCCCTTTGCTGCCTTGGATTCGTGACAATCTGCTCTTTCCAAGGCTACCTCCGGTTTCAGATCTACTTGGTCTTCTTCCTCGGCACTGATCTTCAACCCTTGTTTTAACACAGAGTTGAACTGGAGGCCATCACCTGACGTTCTCCTCTTCTTGGCTGCCATTTCGCATTCCAGGTCATGGGATTTCGTCTTTGAAATCCTATATTTTGTCTGTGATTTCCCCCAAAATGGTGCTACCTGCCCATGTGTAAGCTGGTTCTATAAGGTCCACCAATCATCTTCACTGTTCCTGGAGAACAAGGATCTCGGGATGAAGATGGATTTCACACACTGCTATGAAGAGCTTGTCCTGTTTTTTCCAAAAAGAGAAAGATGTTCAAGAAGATAAAATGATATAGAAATGTATTAATTTTACAGCACAATTATCCAGGGAGGTGGAGTTGGTACACCGAGCCTCCAACCCTTCTGCCTTATGACCATCAACTCCTTCAGACATTGTGTATATGTGTGTGTGTGTGTGTATGAATCAATATAATAAGTTATCTGCTTTCGCAGTTGCAGGAACACCCCCAAAAGTGGAAAAAACATAAATAAATATTGCTATTGTATTGTCGAAGGCTTTCAAGGAATTCTGGGACTTGGAGACCCAAACAGCTGGAGGACTGCAGTTTGCTCCAATGCAATTATGCAATTGGAGATTGAGTATTTTATTTATGCTAGAGGATCCAGTGGTTCCTAGAAAGGTGTTCTCTTGAGTTGAAAAAAAATAGTAATATTTGGATTGTGTAGGTTTTTCGGGTTGTATGGCCATGTTCTAGAAGCATTCTCTCCTGACATTTCACCTGCATCAACTGGCCACCTTGATTAGCATTTGATGGCCTGACAGTTTTTAGGTGTGGCTTGTTGAAATCCTTTGTGGAGGGGTGATTAGTTGTCCCCAATTGTTTCTTGTATGGAGTTCCCCTGTGTTTGAATTATCTCATCATGGTATCTTCAAGGCTTCAAGGAAGGAGAGGCCAATTGAAACATTCACACTTACCTCCAACAGACAAGAGTTTTTTCTCCCACTCTGGACTTTCCACAGATATATAAACCCTTTTTCCTAGTTCCAACAGACCTCACTACCTCTGAGGATGCTTGCCATAGATGCAGGCGAAACGTCAGGAGAGAATGCTTCTAGAACATGGCCATACAACCCGAAAGACCTATAACAACCCAAATGTTGCTATTTTTTTCAACTTGAGAGAACGTCTTTCTAGTGAGTGTTTGGGGACTGGGACATCCATAGGGAGACCAAGGTGTTTGTTTATATAGCTATTGTCCTCCCAACCCTGCTATACGCCTGTGAGACGTGGACTGTGTACAGACATCACATGCAACTCCTGGAACGATTCCATCAGCGCTGCCTCCGGAAAATCCTGCAAATCTCTTGGGAAGACAGGTGGACAAATGTCAGTGTGCTGGAAGAAGCAAAGACCACCAGCATTGAAGCGATGGTCCTCCACCATTAACTCCTCTGGACCGGCCACGGTGTCCGAATGCTCGACCACTGCCTCCCAAAGCAGTTGCTCTACTCCGAACTCAAGAATGGGAAACAGAATGTTGGTGGGCAGGAAAAGAGATTTAAAGATGGGTTCAAAGCCAACCTTAAAAACTGTGGCATCCACACCGAGAACTGGGAAGCCCTGGCCCTTGAGTACTCCAGCTGGAGGTCAGCTGTGACCAGCAATGCTGTAGAATGTGAAGAGGCACGAATGGAGGGTGAAAGGGAGAAACATGCCAAGAGGAAGGCTCGTCAAGCCAACCCCGACTTGGACTGCCTTCCACCTGGAAACTGATGCCCTCGCTGCGGGAGAAGATGCAGGTCAAGAATAGGACTCCACAGTCACCTACGGACCCACTGCCATTACGCCTCAGACAACGAGGGATCGCCTAATTGAACTGATTGACTTGCGAAGTGCCATGCACTATCGTGGAAACAACATAAATAAAAAAATAATGGCAATAATAATACTGGTTACCAGTATTAAAAAACTCGAAAATTACAACAGCAAAACAACAGAGGGGAAACAATCAGGCGCATCTAATCGCCTCTCAACAAAAGATTGCCCCAGGCACTGCCAGGCCATCAAATGCTAATCAAGGTGGTCAGTTGAAACATTCACACCTAGCTCCAACAGACAAGAGTTCTTTGTCCCACCCTGGTCATTCCACAGATATATAAACCCACTTTCCTAGTTCCAACAGACCTCACTACCTCTGAGGATGCTTGCCATAGATGCAGGTGAAACGTCAGGAGAGAATGCTGCCAGACCATGGCCATATAGCCCGAAACAACCTACAACAACCCAGATGGCAATAATAAATAACAACAACACCTCCTTTTAATCCTGATGGGGGTTTTCCCATCTTCCTGGTTTACCTTCTCAGTCCAATTTTATGATTTGCCTGCTCCAGGCTGCATCTACACTGCAGAATTGATGTAGTTTGACCCCAGTTTGCTATGTCAAATGGCATTCACCAGGTAGGTTATATATAGTTCCTCTTCCACCTTCTCTCCTCCCTACTCCAAGGTGGCTCAAAAAATGGATTGCAAAGTGCACTGAAATCCAAAGCCAATGACAACAACAACAACAATCCAATAGTGATGATGATACTACAACAACAACAACAACGCAATAGTGATTATGATGATACAACAACAACAATACAATAGTGATTATGATGATACAACAACAACAATGCAATACTGATGATGATACAACAACAACAACAATGCAATCCTGATGATGATACAACAACAACAATGCAATAGTGATGATGATACTACAACAACAACAATGCAATACTGATGATGATACAACAACAACAATGCGATAGTGATGATGATGATACAACAACAATGCAATAGTGATGATGATGATACAACAACAACAACAACAATGCAATCCTGATGATGATACAACAACAACAATCCAATAGTGATGATGATACTACAACAACAACAACAATACAATAGTGATTATGATGATACAACAACAATGCAATACTGATGATGATACAACAACAACAATGCAATACTGATGATGATACAACAACAACAATGCAATCCTGATGATGATACAACAACAACAATGCAATAGTGATGATGATACTACAACAACAACAATGCAATACTGATGATGATACAACAACAACAATGCAATAGTGATGATGATACAACAACCTGAATGCGATAGTGATGATGATGATACAACAACAATGCAATAGTGATGATGATGATACAACAACAACAACAATGCAATAGTGATGATGATGATACAACAACAACAATGCAATAGTGATGATGATGATGATACAACAACAATGCAATACTGATGATGATACAACAACCACAACAACAACAATGCAATAGTGATGATGAGACAACAACAACGCAATAGTGATGATGATGATACTACAGCAACAACAATGCAATAGTGATGATGATGATGATACAACAACAACAATGCAATAGTGATGATGATGATGATACAACAACAACCACAACAACAACAATGCAATAGTGATGATGATGATACAACAACAATGCAATAGTGATGATGATGATACAACAACAATGCAATAGTGATGATACTACAACAACAATGCAATAGTGATGATGATGATACAACAACAACAATGCAATACTGATGATGATGATGATGATACAACAACAACAATGCAATAGTGATGATGATGATACAACAACAACAATGCAATACTGATGATGATGATGATGATACAACAACAACAACGCAATACTGATGATGATGATACAACAACAACAATGCAATAGTGATGATGATACAACCACAACAACAACAATGCAATACTGGTGATGATGAGATGCCTGTAACCAGGTAGATTGAAACCCCTCTTCCCCCTTTCCCCCTCCTCTCCCTCCAGGTGGTCCTACCTGCAAGGTTTCTTACCTTCTGCTTTGCAAATTGATCTATGCTAATCGATCAATCAATGGATCAATCAGTCGATGGATCCTCTTCCCTTTGGGAGGCTGCACATGGAGCCTTGCAGAGCCACAGACAATGCAAGGCATAAACACAGCTCCTCCTGCCTCTCCTTGCAAAGGCCAGCAAACAAGCAGCAATGGGGAGAGGGGGGAACTAGATATCCCAGGGCCAAAGCTTCCCCAAAGAAAGGGACAGGAAGGGAAGGGACCCAGACAGACAGGCGGACAGCTCTGCCCCCTTCTTCTCTTTCCAAGCCACTCTGGGAAGCCAGGCTCGGTTGGGTTAACCCTTCAGAGCCTGACTTGCAAAGAGAGTGAAGTGTGTGCCAGGTGGGAGCTTGGAGAAGGCTCCTGGGTTTTGAATAGGAACTAAAAGAGGGTTTTTTTGCAAAAGGTGCAAATTTGAGGCAAGCACCTCTGGGTTGCAATGCCCTTCTTGGAATCTAAGGGGTTGGGAGGTATCCCCAGAGGTCATCCAGCCCAACCCCATTTTGCAATGCAGGAAGGCATCATCCAAAACCCTCCCCAAAGATGCAGCCACTTGATTCCAGTGTTAAGACCAGACCTTGGCAAATTTGGGTCCTCCAGGTGTTTTGGACTCCCAACTCCCAACTATTGAGCCATGATCAAGGTTCTTATCAATTTCTCAATGGGACGAAGGGGGGGGGGGGTGAAGGGATAGGTGAGTATATTTTCTGTATTATGATTTCTCTATTTTCATATTTTCTCCCTGTGCATCTGACCTTTTCCTGACCTTTTTGCCCCATTCCCCTTTTGCAAAGAAATGTATAAAAATATGAGGAAGCCACCCTGGCCTTGGAAAGGAAGAAATTACCAGTTAAAAGACACTCTTTACATGGACAATAACAAAGAATCGTGACCTATGGGCTTGGAGGTTTGGTCACCAGAGGATTATGGCAGTATTGCCAACATCAGTGTTTACTGGAACCACTCACAAGAAGAATAATAAGGCTGGCTCATAGGCCTTCAGGACTCGCCGGTCCCTTGGACATTTCCGGAATTCCATAATCCACTCAAGAATGCATTGTTTTTCCTCGTCCCGCCTCCCTCTCTCCTGATTCGTCAGAGTGCCGAGGTGCCAGGAGCCCAGCGATTGGCTCAGGTGCGCGGAGGCAGCCAAGCATCCTCCTAGCTGTTCAGGCGCCAGCCAATCACTGTCGAGCCAGTAGAGGGGCGGGGAGCGGGAGATTCAAGCTTGACAACTCTGTTACTGTTTTAAAATGGCCTTTATTTGTGTACAAGTCATGCTTAGCTTGGCAAAATATTGCTGCTTTGCATCCTTTTCAGCTGAATCGCAATAAAATCATCTCGGTGGCACTTCCTTCAACCTTGGTGAGATTCTTTTTGGAAACTTAGGGAAAAATCTTTTAAAATTGAGGCTTCTCTTTCTCACCACAGTAGCGAGTCCTTTTTGGTGGGTTCGCAGGGTCTCCCCTTTAGGGCCAGACCCTTCTAAATCCCTCCTCGACTTCACTGTGACCAGCAGTGCTGTCGAATTTGAAGAGGCACAAATGGAGGGCGAAAGAGAGAAACGTGCCAAGAGGAAGGCACATCAAGCCAACCTCGACTGGGACCACCTTCCACCTGGAAACCAATGCCCTCACTGCGGGGGATGATGTAGATCAAGAATAGGGCTCCATAGTCACCTACAGACCCACCCTGGAGGATTATCCTACTTGGACAATGAGGGATCACCTAACTGAACTGTCCAGTACCTTGGGAAGTCTGACTTGGCCACGGTAGTCCACGCTCTGGCTACATCCTGTATAGACTGCTGCAAAGCTCTCTACCTGGGGTTGCCTTTGAAGACTGTCCGGAAGCTCCAAATGTACCGACGGATGGCAGCCAGATTACTAACAGGAGAGGTGCGCAGGGAGCATACAACTCCTCTGTTGTGCCAGCTCCACTGGCTGCCAGTCTGCTACTGGGCACAATTCAAAGTGCTGGCTTTAGCCTATAAAGGCCTAAATGGTTCTGGACCAACTGATCTGTCCGAACGCATCTCCCCTTATGAACCTGCGAGGACTTTAAGAGCATCCGGGGAGGCCCTGCTCTCAATCCCACCTGCGTCACAAATACATTTGGCGGGGACGAGAGACAGGGCCTTCTCAGTGGTGGCACTTCGGCTATGGAACGCCCTTCCTGGGGACATTAGATTGGCCCCCCTCCCTCTTAACATTCCGGAAAAGAGTCAAGACCTGGCTGTTCGAGCAAGCATTTGAAAATGCAGTGTAAAAGACATAGGAACTTGGAACGACTGGACGACGAGATGGATAATGTTTTTAATTAGGGCACGCAAATGGCTTATGTTTTTATTACTTTTGTTTGGTTTTATACTATGTATTCATGTTTTAAATGTTTTATGATGTTCTTGGGCATCGAATCGTTGCCTCTGTAAACCGCCCTGAGTCGCCTGAGGGCTGAGAAGGGCCGTATGCAAATATAGAGAATGAATGAATGAATAAAACACAGAAGGTTGTGAGTGAACTAGAGGAGAGGAGGAAGAAGAAGAAGAGCAGGAAGAAATAATGGAGGAAAGCATAGCTGGCTACGAAGGGTGGACTAATAGATCTCTAAGGCAGTGTTTCTCAACCAGCTACTGTTATGAAGCGTAATGTAAACGTCTAATATGCAGGATGTATTTTCATTCATTTGGCACAAATACCTGATACGCCCACATTTGAATACTGGTGGGATTTGGGGGGGGGGGGGTTGATTTTGTCATTTGGGAGTTGTAGTTGCTGGGATTTATAGTTCACCAACAATCAAAGAGCATTCTGAACCACACCAACAATGAAATTGAACCAAACTTTGCACACAGAACTCCCATGACCAACAGAAAATACTTGAAGGGCTTGGTGGGCATTGACCTTGAGTTTGGGAGTTGTAGTTCACCTGCACTGTGAGCACTGTGGACTCAAACAACGATGGGATCTGGACCAAACTTGAAATACAGAACTCCCATGACCAACAGAAAAAACTTGAAGGGCTTGGTGGGCATTGACCTTGAGTTTGGGAGTTGTAGTTCACCTGCACTGTGAGCACTGTGGACTCAAACAATGAGGGATCTGGACCAAACTTGAAATACAGAACTCCCATACTGAACAGAAAATACTTGAAGGGCTTGGTGGGCATTGGCCTTGAGTTTGGGAGTTGTAGTTCATCTGCACTGTGAGCACTGTGGACTCAAACAATGATGGGATCTGGACCAAACTTGAAATACAGAACTCCCATGACCAACAGAAAATACTTGAAGGGCTTGGTGGGCATTGACCTTGAGTTTGGGAGTTGTAGTTCACCTGCACTGTGAGCACTGTGGACTCAAACAATGAGGGATCTGGACCAAACTTGAAATACAGAACTCCCATACTGAACAGAAAATACTTGAAGGGCTTGGTGGGCATTGGCCTTGAGTTTGGGAGTTGTAGTTCATCTGCACTGTGAGCACTGTGGACTCAAACAATGATGGGATCTGGACCAAACTTGAAATACAGAACTCCCATGACCAACAGAAAATACTTGAAGGGCTTGGTGGGCATTGACCTTGAGTTTGGGAGTTGTAGTTCACCTGCACTGTGAGCACTGTGGACTCAAACAATGAGGGATCTGGACCAAACTTGAAATACAGAACTCCATGACCAACAGAAAATACTTGAAGGGCTTGGTGGGCATTGACCTTGAGTTTGGGAGTTGTAGTTCACCTGCACTGTGAGCACTGTGGACTCAAACAATGAGGGATCTGGACCAAACTTAAAATATAGAACTCCCATGACAGACAGAAGATACTTGAAGGGCTTGGTGGGCATTGACCTTGAGTTTGGGAGTTGTAGTTCACCTGCACTGTGAGCACTGTGGACTCAAACAATGATGGATGTAGGTGAACTACAACTCCACAACTCAAGGTCAATGCCCACCAAGCCCTTCAAATATTTTCTGTTCAGTATGGGAGTTCTGTATTTCAAGTTTGGTCCAGATCCATCATTGTTTGAGTCCACAATGCTGTAGGTGAACTACAACTCCAAAACTCAAGGTCAATGTCCACCAAGCTCTTCACGTATTTTCTGTTGGTTATGAGAGTTCTGTATTTCAAGTTTGAAACACTGGCGGAGTTTGGCAAAAACAGACCTTGACATTTGGGAGTTGTAGTTGCTGGGATTTATAGTTCACCTACAATCAAAGAGCAGTCTGAACCCCAACAATGATAGAATTGGGCCATACTTCCTACACGAAAAAAACCCCATGACCAAAAGAAAATACCAACAGAAGACCCTCTGACACCCCTTTGCAACCCCCCCAGGGGTCCCGACCCCCAGGTTGAGAAATGCTGTCATAGGGAGACTTCTGAAACATAAGAGGGTTTATTCACACCATCTTGGAAGTCATAGAATAACAAGGTAAGGAAATTGCTCATTGCCAAAATCACGATTAGGCACTTCTAATCAATGTCTATGATATACACAATTATATGATATTTGAATTGGGAGGAGAGAGGCCAATGCCAGTCATTGGACTCTGAAATTGAAAGGAGACATCCAGTGCCGGCCAACCAAGGAAGGATGGCCAAGAGTTGCATCGAACTACCTTTGTGTAGTTTCAATGTGATACTACAGCAGGCATGGGCCAACTTGGGCCCTCCAGGTGTTTTGGACTTCAACTCCCACAATTCCTAACAGCCGGTAGGCTGTTAGGAATTGTGGGAGTTGAAGTCCAAAACACCTGGAGGGCCCAAGTTGGCTCATGCCTGCACTACAAGTACACCTTGCATTTACCAAATATGGTGGACCTTCTCTCCCAATCTTCTCTCCCCATCATCCCTATCCTGAAAGCATGGGAATCTTATCCCCATTCGTCAAGCTATTATGAGGTCCCTTGCACCGAGTGCTGCCCTTCTTCGAGCCGGAGCATGTTCAGAGCTTCCCTGGCATGGATCTTCTGGTGTTTCACCAAGACCGTGCGATGGGTGAACCTCTTCCCGCAGGTTGTGCACTGGTGGGGCCTCTCGCCCGTGTGGACCTTCTGGTGCCGGATGTGGACAGCCCGGTCGGAGAAGCACTTCCCGCACGTGGCGCACTTGAAGGGCTTCTCTCCTGTGTGTATCCTCTGGTGGACCATCAGGATCTGCCACTGGCTGAAGCTCTTCCCACACTCGGCACACGTGTAAGGCCTCTCCCCGGTGTGGACCCGGTGGTGTTTAACGAGTTGGGAGGATGTGTTGAAGGATTTGTCACAATCGGGGCACTTGAAGGGCTTCTCCCCCGTGTGGCCACCCTCGTGCTTCCGGAGGCTGGAGTTGTGGCTGAAGGTCTCCCCGCACCGTCCGCACTTGAAGGGCTTCTCCTTCAGGTGGACCTTCTGGTGGTTGAGGAGCTGGGACTTCTGGGTGAAGCTCTTCTCGCACTCCAAGCAGCGGAAGAGCTCCTTCTCGAGGTGGACTCGGTAGTGCCGCGTGAGGACGGAGCTGACGGTGAAGCTCTTCCCACACTGGTCGCACGTGTACGGCCGCTCCCCCGTGTGGGTCCTCTCGTGGGCCACCAGGGTGGACTTGAAGCTGAAGCATTTGCCGCAGTCCTGGCACATGAAGGGCTTCTCCCCCGTGTGGGTCCGCTGGTGCGCGGCAAGGACAGTGCAGCGGCTGAAGGTCTTCCCGCACACGCCACAGGTCTTCTTCCCCCGGCTTCGGCGATGCCGCTTGGCAACAACAGTTTGGCCGAGGTCACCCTTTACAGAAGGATGGACATCCACCGTCTTCTGATTTGAGCAGTTTTCACCCTTCTGTGCCACCACATTAGTATGACTTGCAGAAGGTTCTCCATCTCCTCGTGGCCAAGGGAGTCGTGTCCAGGAGGTACCTTGGAGCTTCTCCAATTCGGGTCCTTCCAATGGAGGATCTTCCCGCTTGGCCTCGATCACCCAATCATCACCTGCTGGAAAGAGAAGATAAGCCAATGATGAAGGAGAATAACAAGAGTCATAGAATCATAGAGTTGGAAGAGACCTCATGGGCCATCCAGTCCAACCCCATTCTGCCAAGAAGTAGGAAAATGGTCTTCAAAGCACCCCTGACAGATGGCCATTCAGCCTCTGCTTAAAAGCCTCCAAAGTAGGAGCCTCCACCACACTCTGGGGCAGAGAGTTCCACTGCTGAACAGCTTTCACCATCATAGAATCATAGAATTGGAAGATACCTCATGGGCCATCCAGTCCAACCCCATTCTGCCAAGAAGCAGGAAAATCACATCCAAAGCACCCCTGACACATGGCCATCCAGCCTCTGCTGAAAAGCCTCCAAAGAAGGAGCCTCCACCACACTCTGGGGCAGAGAGTTCCACTGCTGAACAGCTCTCACAGTCAGGAAGTTCCTCCTCATGTTCAGGTGGAATCTCCTTTCCGGTAGTTTGAAGCAATTGCTCCACGTCCTAGTCTCCAGGGAAGCAGAAAACAAGCTTGCTCCCTCCTCCCTATGGCTTCCCTTCATATATTTATACATGGCTGTCATATCTCCTCTCAGGCTTCTCTTCTTCAGGCTAAACATGCCCAGCTCTTTAAGCCACTCCTCATAGGGCTTGTTTTCCAGACCCTTGATCATTTGAGTTGGTCTCCTCTAGATACATTCCAGCTTGACACCATCTCCCTGAAATCGCGGTGCCCAGAATTAGACACAATTCCAATGAACTTAGATTAGATTTGAGAATACAGGGTGTTAAATGTAGACAAATGAGATTCTCCCAGAGACTCAAAGATAAAGTTGAGAGGAGATCCAGGTGCGTTTGGCATGATGTCATGGGTGGTTTGGAGGGTTTAAATTAATGAGTTGTTTCCAAGCCTTCCAGAAGAGACAACGTTGCTATAGGAGATTGTTCTCCTGTGTCTGCTCTCAAGTCCTTGGTTCAAGTAATCTTAAGTTTCCTGTTTTGGTCAATGCCTGTGTTTCCTTGGAGAGTTTACCTTGGAATGTTTCTTGTTTTCATGTTATATGTATTCTAATCTTATATGTATTTTTAACCTATTTTTTCATGGATGTTGTTTTAAATTGTTATTTATTGTTTGCATTGAATTCTTGCTGTGAGCCATTCTGAGTCCCTCCACGGAGGTAGAGAAGATATAAAAGTTCTAAATAATACTAATACTACTACTACTAATAATAATAGATTTATGTCTGGAATACTGCTATGGATTCTGGTTTCCTTGGCTTTATGTTCCTTGTCATTTTTGGATTACTGCTAATTTGTATTTTCTATTTTACTGATCCTTTTGGAATTCCCTTTCCCCCTTTTTTATCTACTTTCTTTAATAAACAGTTTTAGATTGAATTACTGGACTCTGGTATGATGCCAGGTGAGAGTGTGTTATAGTGCTAGAGTGCAACACAGATGCAGGTGAAATGTCAGGAGAGAATGCTACCGGAACATGGCCATACAGCCCAAAAAACTCACAGCAACCCAGTTATTCTGACCATGAAAGCCTTCGACATTCCAAAAGGAACGCTTACCATCTGAATCAACCTCACCCTCACATCTGACCTCCGGACAAAGCGGTTTCTCTCTCAGGCTGTGATCCGGAGGCTGTTCCGCCACGGAGAAGCTCAAATCCACCTCCTGGATCAGTCCCGGTCCCTGAAAAACAGAAGCCAGGCTTAACTGTTGAGTGAAAGAGAGGAGAGGTTTCATGTATAGACATACAAGAAAAGCTCCTCCAGAGTCCCCTAAGAAGCCATCAAGTGCAATCAAAGAATCATATTGGAGGAGTGGTTGAGTTTTTCCCCCAAAATATTTGAAGCTAGACAGTGAGGTAGGTAAGCTGTACAATCCCCAAAGTTTGGCCCTCCAAATGTTTCAGACTTCAAATCCCAGAGTGTCAAGCTGGTTAGGCCTTCTGAGAGCTGCAATCCAATTTTTGTTGTTGTTGTGTCAGGAGCAAGTCTCTTCTGGTGTGAGAGAATTGGCCATCTGCAAGGATGTTGCCCAGGGGACGCCTGGATGATTTGATGTTTTTATCATCCTTGTGGGAGGCTTCTCTCATGTTCCCGCATGAGGAGCTGGAGCTGATAGAGCAGTGTTTCTCAACCTGGGGACCCCTGAGGGGGTCGTGAGGGGGTGTCAAAGGGGTTGCCAAAGACCATCAGAAAACACAGTATTTTCTGTTGGTTATTGGGATTCTGTGTGGGAAGTTTGACCCAATTCTATTGTTGGTCAAGTTCAGAAGGCTCTTTGATTGTAGGTGAACTATAAATCCCAACAACTACAACTCCCAAATGTCAAGGTCTATTTTCCCCAGACTCCACCAGTGTTCACATTTGGGCATATTGAGTTTTTGTGCCAAGTTTGGTCCAGATTCATTATTGCATGAATCCACAGTACTCCTATGGGTATAGGGGAACTACAACTCCCAAACTCAAGGTCAATGCCCACCAAACACTTCCAGAATCTTTCTAATCATAGAATCATAGAATAGAATCATAGAATCAAAGAGTTGGAAGAGACCTCATGGGCCATCCAGTCCAACCCCCTGCCAAGAAGCAGGAATATTGCATTCAAATCAGCCCTGACAGATGGCCATCCAGCCTCTGCTTAAAAGCTTCCAAAGAAGGAGCCTCCACCACACTCGGGGCAGAGAGTTCCACTGCTGAACGGCTCTCACAGTCAGGAAGTTCTTCCTCATGTTCAGATGGAATCTCCTCTCTTGTAGTTTGAAGCCATTGTTCCGCGTCCTAGTCTCCAAGGAAGCAGAAAACCAGGTTGCTCCCTCCTCCCTGTGGCTTCCTCTCACATATTTATACATGGCTATCATATCCCCTCTCAGCCTTCTCTTCTTCAGGCTAAACATGCCCAGCTCCTTAAGCCACTCCTCATAGGGCTTGTTCTCCAGACCCTTGATCATTTTAGTGGCCCTCCTCTGGACACATTCCAGCTTGTCAATATCTCTCTTGAATTGTGGTGCCAGAATTGGACACAATATTCCAGGTGTGGTCTAACCAAAGCAGAATAGAGGGGTAGCATTACTTCCCTAGTTGGTCATGGGAGTTCTGTGTGCCAAGTTCGGTTTAAATCCATCGCTGGTGGAGTTCAGAATGCTCTTTGATTATAGGTGAACTATGAATCCCAGCAGCTACAACTTCCAAATTACAAAATCAATCCTTCCCCCAACCCCACTAGCATTCACATTTGGGCATATAGGGTATTTGTGCTCAATTTAGTCTAGTGAATGAAAATCCATCCTGCATATTGGATATTTGCGATTTATAACAGTAGTAAAATGACAGGTATCAAGTAGCAACGAAAACAATAGTATGAATGTATTGTCGAAGGCTTTCATGGCTGGAATCACTCAGTTCTTGTGGGTTTTTTCGGGCTATATGGCCATGTTCTAGAGGCATTTCTCCTGACGTTTCGCCTGCATCTATGGAAAGCATCCTCAGAGGTGAGGTCACCTCTGAGGATGCTTGCCATAGATGCAGGCAAAACGTCAGGAGAAATGCCTCTAGAACATGGCCATATAGCCCAAAAAAACCCACAAGAACTGAGCAATAGTATGGTTGGGGATCACCACAACATATGGAACTGCATTAAGGGGCCACGGCATTAGCAAGGTTGAGAACCACTGTGATAGAGGGAGCTCATCCGCCTCTCCCTGGATTCGAACCTGCAACCTGTCAGTCTTCAGTCCTGCTTGCACAAGGGTTTAACCCACTGTCCGGGGGCATCTGAAGAACCAAATTTTGAGAATCACTGCTTTGTCAGCTGATTGGCTGTCACTCTGACATTTCAAGGGGGCAGGAGTAACATTAAGGAAGTACTCCCAAAGACCACTGCCTTGTAAAATTAGGAATGACAGAAGAAATCTTTCAAACGTCACCCTCTCAGGATGGCTTTGAGACCCTTGCTTACCTCCGGTGCCCGCCGTCTCGCCCTCTCTTGCTTCCTTGGAGAGAAGCCCTCCGCCAGGGCCACCGCCTGGTCGCACGACTGAGGGCAGCCCCTCTTGACCCAGCTCTGGATCTCAGAGGGCAGGATGGCCAGGAACTGCTCCAGGATCACCAGCTCCAGGATCTGCTCCTTGGTGTGCCTCTCCGGCTTCAGCCACCGGTGGCACAGGTACCAGAGGCGGCTGCAGGCCTCGCGGGGACCCTTAGCTTCCTGGTAGCGGTATTCCCGGAAGAGGCTCCGTTGGACGTCCGCAGTGGCCGAGTCCTCCTTCAGCAGATCCTCCACCTTTGTGGTTTCAACCACCGCACAGTTCCCTCCAACCTCCTGGCTGAGATGCACCAGGCCCTTGAACCGCCGGTATACTTCCGCCGCTCCTTCCAACGAGGCCAAGCAAGCCTTGGCATTCTCCCATGGCTCAGACTCCATCTGTTCCGGCTCTCCCCATCCCAAGTTTTGGGATTGGGATGCCTTCATTGCTGCTCGAGGATCCAAGTATTTCAACCTTCGGTCGACTGGTTCACTCTTTGGTTGCCCTTCGTCTTCCTTTTTCTCAAGGCTATGAACATCCCTAGCTTTGGGTTCAAGAGGCGTATGCCCTGTTCTTTCCAAAGCCAAGCCTGCTTGGTTGGTTTCACCCGATGGTATCCGTTCCTGGCCAGTTTGCTCCAGGAAAGCCAAATCTGGGCTCTTCCCCTTCTCCGGCATCATTTTATGTCTCATGGCTGCCTTCCTCTCAGCTCCTGGATGGGAGTTTTATTGTGTTTTTGTTGGAAAGACCAAAAACGGAGACTGAGTTATGTACCCATCCTCAAGTCCATGCACCAAAAGCAATGGGATGTTTTCAGTACTTGCATTGTAGGAAAGAAAATTATTTTATGCAAGGAGGTTGCGAAGAGCTCTTTTTCCTAGAGACATGCAGAAAAGAAAAGGAAAAGAAGAAAAAAATTCAAATATAGTAAGACTTCACAACCACCAAACCACTGACATTAGACTTCCCTGCCAGATCCTAATGCCGCACCAAACTACAACTATGATTCCATGGTTTTTGCATGGATGTTGAAGTGACGTCACATTGCAATAGTTCTACTGTGTGTAGATTAAGTGCCAGCCACAAAGCTCCATATCTCCTCAAACTACGAAACCCTGAATTCCCCATGTACTTCAACTGCACAATTGTGTAGTGTGTGAATTGTAACCTCCATCCTGTGTCTTCCCCAATGTGGATGCTTCAGAAGCTATGGTATTGGATCTTAAAATCCTTCCCTTTTGGTCAGGCATATGGAACACCTCAGCAAGCAAGGGTCCAAAAGTGGCAGGTTCAAACCCAGAACCTTAATGGCTGATACCAAATAAGAGACTCTCCCCAGAAAACTGGGTGACTTGGAAGGCATTGAACAGACTGCACTCTGGCACCACGAGATGCAGAGCCAACCTTAGGAAATGGGGCCACAAAGTGGAATCCACGACATGCAAGTGTGGAGAAGAGCAAACCACAGACCACCTACTGCAATGCAACCTGAGCCCTGCTACATGCACAATGGAGGACCTTCTTATAGTAACACCAGAGGCACTCCAAGTGGCCAGATACTGGTCAAAGGACATTCAATCAACTACCAAGCTTTCAAACTTTGTGTTTTGTTTGTTTGTTTGTTAAAAAATGCAATACAACTGTTTGGTTTGCTCCTGACATGATAAATAAATAAATAAATAAATAAATAAGGCATATGTAGAGTTCCCTGATCACCCTACAAGACTGTGCCAAAGACAGGCTTGCAATGCAAAATACGAGGGTTATCTGGAAAGTAAGGTCACAAGGCATGTAGCTCTTGCAGGGAATTTTCTGGGGCGGGAAGCCAGTGGAAGCGAACGAGCAGTGCCAGTCGTCAGTAGCTCATCCACTGGCATTGTGGCAAAGGTTAGAGATAACCGTCCTCATTCCATTTCACTCCAAGTGCGAAGTTCGCGCTATACGAGGGATATCCAGAAAGTAAGGTTACAAGGCACGTATATCTCGTGGGGAATTTTCTCGGGGGAAGTTGGTATTACTGCGGTGTAGTGGGAAGCTAACAGAAGCGAACGAGCAGTGCTAGTTGTCAGACGCTCATCGACTGGTGTTGTGGTGAAGGTTAGAGGTAAGTGTCCTCATTCCATTTCCCACCAAGTGTGAAGTTCACACTGTAAACGAGCAGTGCCAGTCGTCAAACGCTCATTGACTGGTGTTGTGGTGAAGGTTAGAGATAACTGTCCTCATTCCATTTCCCACCAAGTGTGAAGTTCACACTTTAATACGCTCCCTAAATGCTAAGGGCATGAACACCACTGCAATTCATAAATTATTTCAGTTTATGGAGAGTACGCAATGTCAAGACAGCTTGTGGCGGTATGGGTACGGAGTATGTTGTGATACCATGAAGGAACTTTACAGAGCCATCCAAAACAAACATCATGGGATGCTGACAGCGGGAGTCTGTCTCCTTCATGACAATGTGCATCTGCACACCACACATGCAACACAAGAGTTGTTGACTTCATTAGGTTTGGATGTTTTAAGCCACCCCGATCTTGTACCCAGTGACTATCTTGAAGGAACACTTGGGTGGAAAACACTTTTCTGATGATGAGGAGGTGAAAATCGAAGTGACAAACTGGCTGAAAAAGGCGGAGGGAAACTTCTATAACACAGGCATCAAAAACTCGTCCCACAGATGGCAAAATGTATTGAACTGAATGGTGATGATGTGGAAAAATAATGTAATACCTATGCTACAATCCATGTAAGTTGTATTAAAAGATATTCATTCTTTGTTGTATCAAAATATATTTATTCTTATATCCTTATTTTCTGGATATCCCTCGTAAGAAGTTGCACGATGAAAAGATGTGGGCCGGTCCTACCTCCAACCCTCTCGGTCCCGAAGCAAAGGCTACGTGCCCCCTTTTTACCTGTTTTAACACACTATTGCAATGTCTCCCGCACAAAATCCATGCATCCTCGTCAAAGATATTTATTTATTTATTTAAAAGTTTTGTATACCGACCTTCTCACCTCTTTTGAGGGACTCAGACCGGTTTCCAACCATAAAATCACATACAGTCAGTAAAACAACATAATTCATATTACAATAACACATTAAAACAGCAAATATATTCAATAACTACAATGGTCAGTCGTCATACTAAAATCGATTGTACATCATCTTCCATCCATATCTCAGGGTGTTGGCTCACTCATCGAATGCCTGTCTCCATAACCACGTCTTCACCTGTTTCCTGAATGTCAGGATAGAAGGGGCGGTTCTGATCTCCAGTGGGAGAGAGTTCCAGAGTCGAGGGGCCACCACCGAGAAGGCCCTGTCCCTCGTCCCCACCAGACGCGCTTGCGAGGCCGGTGGGACCGAGAGCAGGGCCTCTCCAGACGATCTTAATAATCTTGATGGTTCATAGGGGAGAATACGGTCGGAGAGGTAAACAGGGCCGAAGTCGTTAAGGGCTTTATTGGTTAATAAAGCCCTAAACGATATGGGGTGGTCCTACATCTCGACCCCCTGATCCTCATCCAGTGCCTCTGTTTCCCAATGCAATGCAGGAACAAGGATGGCAATGCTTATCTGCCCCTCTTTTACCTGTTTTGGGGCATTACCTCAACACCCCAAGCCCAAATCGACACTTTCCTGCTTGTTCCCTCTCCAAAGATGTGGGTCAACATCTCCACACCCAGTCCCCATGATCCCCAACCAATGCAAAAAGGGGGTGCCAAATCCCATGTGTTCCTCTTTGACCTGCTTTGAGACACTCTTGGAACCTCCCCAGGACAAAATCCCCTTGCTCCCCGACCAAAGATATGGGCCAACCCTACATCCAGCTCTCCACAATGCAGGAAAAGCATGCGAAAGCCCATGCACCCCTTCCTTTCTTGCTTTGGAGCATTACTTCACCTCCTCCTGGAACCAAACTCAACACTTCCCTCCTTGCTACCCTGCACCAAGTTATGGGTCAGCCCCACATCCATGTGAACCCATTATTCCCATGCAAAGCAGGAAAGGGATGCCAAAGCCCATGTGTCTCCTCTGACATATTTTGGGGGCTCTACTGCAAACCTTCCAGAGCAAAACCTGCCTTTTTCTCCTTGTTCTCCCAGCAAAGCTATGGCCCAGACCCACAAGCAGCAAAGGGACTCCAAAGCCCATGCACCACCACCACCCCTTTTATCTACTTTGGAGCAGTTCTGCAAAACCCACAGTCCCTTCTTGCTCTGCGACCAAAGATATGGGTCTGCCCCACAGTGCAAGAGAGGGACAGCAAAGCACATGCATGCACCATTCTCTTACCTGTTAAAACCCATGCAAAACTCCCCCCTTTTGCAACAGGAGGGCAGGAAGAGGAAACGAGGATCTCTTCGCCCTCTCCTGCCCCAGGACTTTTCTGTCCCACTTTGGGAGGACCAACTCTGTGGCTTTAACCCTTCAGTGCCACAAACACACACACACACACACACACACACACACACACACACCCTCCAAAGAAGAAGCCAGGAGCTGCAAAGCTGCACAAGGCTTTGAGGACCAACTCTGTGGCTTTAACCCTTCAGTGCCACAAACACACACACACACACACACACACACACACACCTCCAAAGAAGAAGCCAGGAGCTGCAAAGCTGCACAAGGCTTTGAGGACCAACTCTGTGGCTTTAACCCTTCAGTGCCACAAACACACACACACACACACACACACACACACACCTCCAAAGAAGAAGCCAGGAGCTGCAAAGCTGCACAAGGCTTTGCTTTAATATTTCCAACCCACTCTTTTGGAAAACCTCCAGAGGAAGAGACCCACTTCTAGGCAATTGTGATTTTTAGATGCTAATTGCAGTGCATAAATAAAGTATAAAGTATTACATTGTCATTGGGAGGGAGAGCCAATACTCCAGAGGAGAGGAGCAGGATTCAAAACAAACTAGACAGATTAGAGAGATGATGGGCCAAAACTAACAAAATGAAGTTCAACAGTGACAAATGCAAGATACTCCACTTTGGCAGAAAAACGAAATGCAAAGATACAGAATGGGGGACAATGATGCCTGGCTCGAGAGCAGTACGTGTGACCTGAACCAGTGCTTGGCCGCTGTAACGGACTGGATGAGGGACAACAGATTGAAACTAAATCCAGACAAGACAGAGGTACTCCTGGTCAGTCGAAAGGCCGAACAGGGCATAGGGTTACAGCCTGTGCTCGATGGGGTTACACTCCCCCTGAAGACGCAGGTTCGCAGTCTGGGAGTTCCTGGATTCATCGCTGAGCCTGGAACCTCAGGTTTCGGCGGTGACGAGGGGAGCATTTGCACAACTAAAACTTGTGCGCCAGCTGCGCCCATACCTTGGGAAGTCTGACTTGGCCACGGTAGTCCACGCTCTGGTTACATCCCGCATAGATTACTGCAACGCGCTCTACGTGAGGTTGCCTTTGAAGACGGCCCGGAAGCTTCAAATGGTCCAGCGTGCAGCAGCCAGGTTGCTAACAGGAGCGGCGCTCAGGGAGCACACAACTCCTCTGCTGCGCCAGCTCCACTGGCTGCCAGTTTGCTACCGGGCCCAATTCAAAGTGCTGGCTTTAGCCTATAAAGCCCTAAACGGTTCTGGCCGAGCCTACCTACGAACCCTCCAGGAAGTTAAGATCATCTGAGGAGGCCCTGCTCTCGATCCCGTCTGCTTCGCAAGCACGCTTGGCAGGGACGAGAGACAGGGCCTTCTCTGTGGTGGCCCCTCGGCTGTGGAACTCCCTGCCTAGGGATATTAGATCAGCCCCCTCCCTCCTGACCTTTCGTAAGAGAGTGAAAACCTGGCTCTTCGAGCAGGCATTCGGAACCCCGGAATAGATAGTCAAGCTTGAGATGGAGAATGACCCAGGAACGGCCAAGACGATGAAATGGACGAGGATTGGAATGAGAGGATATAGCTCTTTTTAAATTGTTATTGCACTGTCTTTTTTGTCTAAATGCACTTAATTGTTTTTGCTTTTGTATTGTATTGATGGCATCGAATTGTGCCGATATGTAGACCGCCCTGAGTCGCCTGCAGGCTGATATGGGCGGGATAGAAGTGATGTAAATAAATAAATAAATAAATACCTGTGAAAAAGATCTTGGAGTCCTCGTGGACAAGTTAAACATGAGCCAACAATGTGATGTGGCGGCAAAAAAAGCCAATGGGATTTTGGCCTGCATCAATAGGAGCCTAGTGTCTAGATTCAGGGAAGTCATGCTCCCCATGCTCTATTCTGCCTTGGTTAGACCACACCTGGAATATTGTGTCCAATTCTGGGCACCACAATTCAAGAGAGATACTGACAAGCTGGAATGTGTCCAGAGGAGGGCGACTAAAATGATCAAGGGTCTGGAGAACAAGCCCTATGAGGAGCGGCTTAAGGAGCTGGGCATGTTTAGCCGGAAGAAGAGAAGGCTGAGAGGAGATATGATAGCCATGTATAAATATGTGAGAGGAAGCCACAGGGAGGAGGAGCAAGCTTGTTTTCTGCTTCCCTGGAGACTAGGACGCAATGGAGCAATGGCTTCATCCACCTACATCCAGAGACCACTGTGGACTCAGACAATGATGGATCTGACCAAACGTGGCATGAATACACAATAAGCCCAAATGTGAACACTGGTGGAGTTTGGGGGGAAATAGACTCTGACATTTGGGAGTTGTAGTTGTTGGGATTTATAGTTCACCTATAATCAAAGAGCAACAATGGAATTGAACCAAACTTGGCACACAAAACTCCCATGACCAACAGAAAATACTGAAAGGGTTTGGTGGGCATTGACCTTGAATTTTGGAGTTGTAGTTCACCTCCATCCAGAGAACACTGTGGACTCAAACAATGATGGATCTGGACCAAACTTGACAGGAATACTCAATATGCCCAAATGTGAACACAGATGGAGTTGACGGGAAATAGACCTTGACATTGGGAGGTGTAGTTACTAAGATATATAGTTCACCTACAGTAAAAGAGCATTCCGAACCCCACCAACGATGGAATTGGGCCAAACATCCCACACAGAACCCCCATGACCAACAGAAAATACTGTGTTTTCTGGTGGTCTTTGGTGACCCTTCTGACCCCCCCTGGTGACCCCCCCCCCCCCCGCCCCCTTGACTTCCCAGCTTGAGAAATGCTGCCTTAAGGCCATCCAGTCCAACTCCCTTCACCGGGGCAAGAAAACATAATCAAAGTCCTCCTGACAAAGGGCCATCCAGCCATTCACACACACATATATGTATATGGCAGATGCAGTATCAAAGATTTGAAAGGGACCCCTTTTATTTTGGTTGTGTCAGGAATTGCTCCTGTTGTGAGAGAATTGGCCGTCTGCAAGGATGTTGCCCAGGGGATGCCCGGATGATTTGATGTTTTTATCATCCTTGTGGGAGGCTTCTCTCATGTCCCTGCATGAGGAGCTGGAGCTGATAGAGGGAGCTCACCCCTAAAGAAGGACAATGATATGTTGCATGTTCCAAAGGAGGCAAACCAGACAATCTCCACATCAACACTGGCAAACAAACAGCAAGAAATACTGTTTACCCACAAGCATAAAGACGTTACATATATTTTTATTTTCCAGATCACCAGGCTGGGCCACAGCAATGCCTGGCAGGGGACCGCTAGTACAATATAATTGGCCACAGTGGGCTGTAGGCGGCTAGGAATTGTGGGAGTTGAAGTCCAAAACACCTGGAGGACCCAAGTTTTCCCATGCCTGTTATATAGGGTACTTTTGTAGGATTTCACAACTGCTTCAACTGGTTCCATTGCCCCGCTCCCACTGTTTTAGGATTCCCAGCCTACATAATTTATTTGGTAGTTACTAGACTCTGAGTCATGCTTGAGGTGTTTGTTGGTCATCCATTTCTATATTTAAATCAGCCACATGGGTGGTTTTATGATGCTCCACAAAAGACGGCCTGGTATAAAAGCTTTCCCCGCAATGTACACACTTATATGGCTTCTCTCCATTGTGGGTCCTCTGGTGTGCAATAAGGTTGGAGCTCAAGTTGAACTTTTTCCCGCACTCCGAGCAACTGTAGGGTTTCTCCCCTGTGTGCGTCCTCTGGTGTCTAATAAGGCCTGAGCTACATGTAAAACTCTTGCCGCAATCTGAGCATTTGTAGGGTTTCTCTCCCGTATGGATTCTCTGGTGTACATTGAGCTGGGAGCTGACGCTGAAGAATTTGCCACAGTCCAGGCACTGGTATGGTTTCTCTCCCATGTGGGTTCTCTGGTGGGCCACGAGGTTTGAGCTCAAGGTGAAACTTTTGCCACATTCGCCACAACTATAGGGTTTTTCTCCTGTGTGGATTCTCTGGTGTCGGATGAGGCCTGCGCTGCAAGCGAACATCTTTCCGCAGTCGGCACAGTCGTACGGCTTGTCTCCTCCATGCGTTCTCTTGTGAGCATTGAGGCTGGAACTCAAATACACTCTTTTGGGGCACTCTGCACACTTGTATGGTTTATTTCCCGTGTGGATCCTCTCATGAGCGCCGAGGCTGGACCTCACGCTGAAGCTTTTCCCACAGTTTGAGCATTTGTAGGGCTTCTCTCCGGTGTGGGTTCTCCGGTGAACGCTAAGCTGAGAGCTCACACCGAAGCTTTTCCCACAAGCGGTGCACTGGTATGGCTTCTCACCGGTGTGCGTCCGCTGATGTCGCACGAGGCTTGAGCTGCAACCAAAGCTTTTCCCACAATCTGAACATTCGTACGGTTTGTCCTTGGTGTGAATCCTTTGGTGTCTAATAAGACTGGAGCTGCAATTGAAGCTCCTCCCGCAGTCGGCACAATGATACGGCTTCTCACCCGTGTGAATTCTTTCGTGGGCAATGACATTGGAGCTCTGGCTGAAGCTCTTCTCGCACACGGAGCAGGCATAGGGCTTTTCTCCCTTGTGGGTTCTCACATGGGCAATGAGGGCAGACTTCTGGCCGAAGCGTCTCCCACAGTCGGAGCATCGGTAGGGTTTCTCTCCGGTGTGGATTCTCTCGTGAGCCACCAGGCTGGATTTCAAACTGAAGCGTCTTCCACAGTCTGGACACTTGTAGGGTTTCTCTTCCGTGTGAATTCTCTCATGAGCAATAAGAGTTGATACCTGGTTGAAACTTTTCCCGCAGACGGCGCATTCGTAGGGTTTTTCCTCCGTGTGGATTCTGTCGTGGGCAACCAGAGTCGACTTCCTCCCAAAGCTTTTCCCACATCTCGGGCACCGGTAGGGTTTCTCCCCGGTGTGGATTCTCCCGTGAGCAATAAGGTTTGAGCTGTTGCTGAAGCTTTTCCTACACCTCCCACATTTCAGTCGTCTCTTGCATTTCTCAGATTTGCTCTTGTCGTCAGTCCCACAAAGGACTGACTTACCCATATCCTTTCTCTCCCTTTGCCTTCGTCTTCCAAAATCCCAAGAATGTGGACTGTTTTTTCCTTCTATTTTTGTTTGCAATTTACTATGGTCATCTAATTCTTCATTGTCCACATTGGAATCATTGCATCCTCTTCTTCCCTCTCAGTCAGCCATCCTTTGAACTGTTGAAAAAAGGAAAGAATTAAAGTAAGTCAGACCAAAGTAAAATGGGGGGGGGGGGGGATAATCTGATCTTCAGAATTGAGGCTATTTATAAAGAACTAGCCGTCCCCGGCCATGTGTTGCTGTGGCCCAGTGTGTGTATATGTGTTTTGTGTCTGTGTGTATGTGGTTTTGCAAATGCGTTGTAATGTATTTTTTTGGCTTTTTAAGTCTCTTCTGCTGTGTTTTTCAGTGTTTTTATGAGTGATGGTCACTCATTGGCCTGATAGGTGTCTTGTGTCCAAATTTGGTGTCAATTCATCCAGTAGTTTTTGAGTTATGTTAATCCCACAAACAAACATTACTTTTTTCATTTATATAGACTAGCAGTCCCCTACCAGGCATTGCTCTGGCCCAGTCTGGTGATCTGGAAAATGAGAAATGAGTAATGAGAAAGTGTTGGTTTCTAATATACGTAATTTCTTTATGCTTGTGGATAAACAGCACTTCTTGCTGTTTCTTTGTCAGTGTTGATGTTGAGAGTGTCTGGTTTGCCTACTCTGGAACAGGCAACATATTATTGTCCTTTTTCAGGGGTCCCTTTCAAATCTATGATACTATATTTGTGTGTGTGTGTGTATCATATCTATCTATCTATCTATCTATCTATCTATCTATCTATCTATCTATCTATCATCTATCTCTATGGCTGGATGGCTCTTTGTCAGGAGGGCTTTGATTATGTTTCCTCGCCCTAGTGAAGGGAGTTGGAATGGATGGCCTTAAGTATTTTCTGTTGGTCATGGGGGTTCTGTGTGGGAAGTTTGCCCCAATTCTGTCGTTTGTGGGATTCAAAATGCACTTTGATTGTAGGTGAACTATAAATCTCAGTAACTACAAATCCCAAATGTCAAGGTCTATTTCCCCCAAACTCTATCTGTGTTCATATTTGGGCATATGGAATATTCGTGCCAAGTTTGGTCCAGATTCATCATTGTTTGAGTCCACAGTGCTCTCTGGATGGAGGTGAACCTCAACTCCCAAACTCAAGATGAATGTCCATCAAGCCCTTCTAGTGTTTTCTGTTCATCATGGGAGTCCTGTATGCTTTATTCCTTTCACATATTTATACATGGCTATCATGTCTTCTCTCAGCCTTCTCTTCTGAAGGCTAAACATGCCCAGTTCTTTAAGCCGCTCCTCATAGGGCTTGTTCTCCAGACATTTGATCATTCTAGTTGCCCTCCTCTGGACACATTCCAGCTTGTCAACATCTCCCTTCAATTGGGGTACCAGAGAAACCACAATTGAAATGAGATGGAGACTGCAAGCACATTAGAGTCAGGGTGTGTCTATGCTGCAACATTAATGCAGTTTGACACCACTTTTAACAGCATTGGCTCAATGCTATGGAATCATAGAAGCTGTAGTTTTGCAAGGTTTTCACCCTTCTCTGGCAAAGAAGGATGTTGCCTTACCAAACCCTATAATTCAATTGCATTGAGTCATGAAAGATTATGTGGAATCAAACTGCATTAATTCTGCAGTGTAGATGCACCCTAGTGTCCCCCCCCCCAACATACACTTTCTCCAGTTCCTTACCTGTCCCAGGTGTTCCCTTCCCAACCAAGATTGCATTTAATTACTGTGCTTCTTGTCTCCTTTGCAGCTGCACCTCTTCCTCCAACTCTGTTTATTATTCTCTATTCGTAAACAAGGGAAAGGCTGCCCTCCAGCGCCACCTGCCGGTTGATATGTCCTGCTCAGTGTTTTTGCAGCAATCTTTGGTCCTCCAGGCCTTTGGACTTCAACTCCCAAAATTCCTAGCCATTGGCCAAACTGGTTGGGGCTTCTGGAAGTTGGAGTCCCAAAATTTGGAAAGTAGGAACCACTTAAAAAACTCATGCTGGCTGCATTGATGGGCTGGAAAGGTTTTTCCTGAGTTTTTATCTGTCTTGGTTGGCTTTTCTTTTCTTTCTGGAGGTGGGGAAGAAGTTAGAAGCACCCACACTGTTTGACACCACTATTAACTTCCATGGCTCAATGCTATGGAATCCAGTTGCAACTACAACCTGAATAACGTCTAAAATAATATAAAATATAAAATAATATATTGTATATACATATATTTATAATATTATAATGTAATACAATATAATAATAATAATAATAATAATAATAATAATGTGGTACTATAATTATATATTTTATATTACATAGAATCATGGAATCATAGAATCAAAGAGCTGGAAGAGACCTCATGGGCCATCCAGTCCAACCCCATTCTGCCAAGAAGCAGGAATATTGCATTCAAATCACCCACAGATGGCCATCCAGCCTGTTTAAAAGCTTCCAAAGAAGGAGCCTCCACCACACTCCGGGGCAGAGAGTTCCACTGCTGAAGCTCTCACAGTCAGGAAGTTCTTCCTCATGTTCAGATGGAATCTCCTTTCTTGTAGTTTGAAGCCATTGTTCCGCGTCCTAGTCTCCAGGAAAGCAGAAAACAAGCTTGCTCCCTCCTCCTGCCTTCCTCTCACATATTATACATGGCTATCATATCTCCTCTCAGCCTTCTTCTTCAGGCTAAACATGCCCAGCTCCTTAAGCCGCTCCTCATAGGGCTTGTTCTCCAGACCCTTGATCCTTTAGTCGCCCTCCTCTGGACACATTCCAGCTTGTCAATATCTCTCCTGAATTGTGTTGCCCAGAATTGGACACAATATTCCAGGTGTGGTCTAACCAAAGCGGAATAGAGCATGGGGAGCATGACTTCCCTGCATCTAGACACTATGCTCCTATTGATGCAGGCCAAAATCCCACTGGCAATATAATGGTATTGTACTAATGTAGGAATGCCTTTCGGTGCTCCAGCAAATGTGGACAATTGACTGAGTGGCTGCCTTAATGGCAATGGGGAGCTATCCATGGTGCTGAATATCTCTAGAATGGATTCAGCACCATGGATAGTTCTTTTTAAGGCAGATGCTACAACAATAACAGCAGGCTCTGAGGCCCTGTCTACACTGCCATATAGTATCCAGATTATCGTCTTTGAATTGAATTATGGCAGTGTAGACTCATATAATCCAGTTCAATGCATATAATGTGGATTACCACCTTTGATAACCTGGAATATATGTCAGAATAGGATCTAAGACAGTGGTTCTCAACCTGTTTTTGGCCTTCAACTCCCAGAAATCTTAACAGCTGGTAAACTGGCTGGGATTTCTGGGAGTTGTAGGCCAAAAACATCTGGGGGGCCCAGGTTGAGAACCACTGATCTAAGAGTTTATTGCAGGCATGGGTCAACTTTGGCCCTCCAGGTGTTTTGGACTTCAACTCCCACAATTTCCAACAGCTTCATGGCTACTCAATTCTATTCATATTTCCCAAATAGAGGGTGCCTCCAGGCAACAAAGGCCAAGCTACCTGTATATCTAGTCCAACCCCCTGCCGAGAAGCAGGAAAATTGCATTCAAAGCACCCCCAACAGATGGCCATCCAGCCTCTGTTTAAAAGCCTCCAAAGGAGGAGCCTCCACCACACTCCGGGGCAGAGAGTTCCACTGCTGAACAGCTCTCACCGTCAGGAAGTTCTTCTTAATGTTCAGATGGAATCTCCTTTCATATCATATAAAACCTTTACTGATTTAAAATAATTCATGTGTGTGTGTGTGTTTCACACATTTGTATCCACAGAGGGGTGTTGGTGTAATGAAAATCAAGCATAGTTCATGTCTTCAGTCCACATACTGTCTTCCCAGAGAAAGAAAATATGCCACACAGATAATCATAAAAAACAAGTAGTTTACTCTTTGTAATGAAAAATAACATGTTTACAATCATGAGAACTGTTGCATTGATTCACATAATGTCCTTTTAGAGAGATATAAATGGTCTTTCATAGTCCATCTGGAATATCTCCTTCCAGTAGCTCAGGAAGCAAGAACAATCACACTCTCTCTTTGCAAGCACTTGCATTGCTCAAGCCTGAATATGAAACTGTTGCCAAAATTCCCAGGCTCAGCTAGCTCCCTGGACATGGCCCAACCAATCAGCTTGGTGCCTTGCATTTTATATTTAACACTCCCTGATTTCTTACATGCCCTAACAAGGGGGGCTTCATTAGCTGCCAACACATAAATGATAAACAAACAATTACAGTTAAAAACAAACAGTTAAAACACCAATTATTACACAAGTTCAAAATCATAATCCAAGGTCAGTCTATTGATGGTCCCAAAAAATCACTCTCATTCTTGATGCACCTCAGCTAGGGTTCACCTTGCACAACAATGACGATGGTGTCCATTTATGTTGGTCCAAGTCGCAGCATGATGTTACAATTTGGTATAACTTAGTAGCAATTATGGGATAATAAGGGAGCAGACTCACTGGCCCGGGACCCAAACAACTGCCCTACCAGAAGACCCATAGATGCTAGCCGGCATCAGCTGGAGTCAGGGGCGGCTCGTCCATTACGCAAAGTAAGCGGTCGCGGTACACTTTTTTTTGCCAGGGGTGCAGAGGCGCCTCTGCAAATGCCCCTCAACCGCCACTTGAGGAGCGCCCCCTCAGCTCACAACAGCCCTAGCAGTCCGGGGGGAGTCTCGGCTTTCTTGCCTCACTGCCGGGCGATCCTCTTCCCAAAGGGGCCGGGCCCTTGAGCCTCGCCTAGCCCCTCTCGTTCCTGCTCCATATCAATGATTGGTTGGGGGGGGGGGCGCCAAAATACTGTTTGCTTACTGTTGGAAATTACCTAGGACCGCCTCTGGCTGGAGTCACAGTTATCCCTATCCCACCCCAGTAAAATCAATTAATAATGACATTTAATAGATATGCTGCCTTTTCCCCCCAAGGTGGGACCCAAGATGAATTTGGGTAAGAGCAATATAAATTAGTTTGAAAAAAAGATGCACGGAAGCTAAAAACATGTTTGCTCCCTTAACCCTCAAAACCCCAAATCCATTTGTATTTATGTTAACAGAAAAAGTTATCAATAGATAAAAATGTATCTATTGTCTATGAAAAGTCTCTTTCCGCACCAAAACACCTGCACAGGGGAGAAACCGTAGGAATGCCCTACAGAAATGTCTTTGCCTCCCGAGCGAAACGAAATGCCCGTTGTGTGAAAACTACTCGTTTAGTGATAACTAGCTCACTATTGATCCAAGTATTGGAAGGGTAAAGCGGTGCATCCTCAGTGAGCAAAATGAAAAAAGGAATTTACCCAAGGGAAAATGCATTCAAATGCTTGGAGTGCGGAAAAAGGTTTCAGTCAGCAGGGTGTCTGTAAATAAATCATCTGGGGAAAAGTCTCTTTCCACACCAAAACACTTAGACTGGAGAGAAACTGTATGAACACCCGACTTGGAGGAAACCTTGCCAAACATCAAAGAGTCTACATGCGTGGAGAGCAAACCATTTCGTAAATCAATCTTACATAGGAATACTACATATCAACAAAACACTCAAGCTGGAGAGAAACAGTATGACTTGGAGGAAACCTTGCCAAACATCGAAAAGTCTACATGCGTAGAGAGCAAACCATTTCGTAAATCAATCTTACATAGGAATACTACATATCACCAAAACACTCACACTGGCGAGAAACCGCATGTTCACCCAACTTGGAGGAAACCTTGCCAAACATCTAAGAGTCTACATGCATGGAGAGCAAACCATTTCATAAATCAACCTTACATAGGAATACAACGTATATGCAGATAGACCTCCATATCCACAATCCCACCATCCATGGCTTGAAAATATATATATTTTAAAAAATAACTTAATTTGGGAATCCATGGAGGGTCGTGGTAGCAAATCCCAGTGGATACCAAAGGCCCAATGGAGAAATGATTGACGGCGAAGCATCCACGCAGAGGAAACCCAATTTGGCTGTTATTTGGCCATCAACCCCTTCTTCTTCTTCTCCCTATAATCTCTGGCCACAGGGACATTCGTGGCTTTGATTATTTGCAAATTAGATTAAAACTTCCCATCCAGGAATCCCTCGGTCTTCCAAGTGAAACAGGAGGAGCTAGAGATTCCTAAAAAGATCATCTCTTGGGTTAAAAGTTAGCATTCGTTATATTAGTATTAGTGGTAAGGGGTCATGGTGCCGCAGCGGGTCAAACCGCTAAGCTGCAGAACTAGTGGCATTAGTGGTAGTACTAGCAACATTGGTAGTATTAGTGATAATATTAGTACTAGTGATAGTATTCGTAGTGGTGGTGGTATTAGTGGTAGCATTAGTATCATTGGTAGTATTCGCGGTAATATAAGTAGTGTTTTTAGTGGTAGTACTAGTAACATTGGTAGTATTAGTGATAATATTAGTACTAGTGATAGTATTCATAGTGGTGGTGGTATTAGTGGTAGCATTAGTATCATTGGTAGTATTAGTGGTAATATAAGTCGTGTTTTTAGTGGTAGTATTAGTGGTAGCATTAGTACTAGTGATATTAGTGGTAGTATTAGTAGCATCGGTAATATTAGTAGCAGTGTTTTAGTGGTAGTATTAGTAGCATTAGTGGTGGTATTATAGTATTGGTAGTCCATGCTCTCCCTGTCCTAAAGAGCAGGATATAATATAATAAATTTCTTTCTCACTGTACTAAAAACAATACAATGTACAATTTAAATATATATATTATATAACACTAATATAAAATTAAGCACTGAACTATTAAAAATAAATAGCCTCCT